ACCAGTTCCTATGGATCCCAGCACCGACCCGAAAGAACCCAGTTCCTATGATCCTAGTACCGACCCGAAAGAACCCAGTTCCTATGGATCCTAGTACCGACCCGAAAGAACCAGTTCCTATGGATCCTAGTACAGACCCCGAAAGAACCAGTTCCTATGGATCCTAGTACCGACCCGAAAGAACCAGTTCCTATGGATCCCAGCACCGACCCGAAAGAACCAGTTCCTATGGATCCTAGTACCGACCCGAAAGAACCAGTTCCCATGGATCCCAGCACCGACCCGAAAGAACCAGTTCCTATGGATCCCAGCACCGACCCGAAAGAACCAGTTCCTATGGATCCTAGTACCGACCCAAAAGAACCAGTTCCCATGGATCCCAGCACTGATCCTAAAGAACCAGTCCCCATGGATCCCAGCACTGATCCTAAAGAACCAGTTCCCATGGATCCCAGCACTGATCCTAAAGAACCAATTCCTATGGATCCTAGTACCGACCCGAAAGAACCAGTTCCCATGGATCCTAGCACTGATCCTAAAGAGCCAGTTCCTATGGATCCCAACACTGATCCTAAAGAACCAGCTCCCATGGATCCCAGCACTGATCCTAAAGAACCAGTTCCTATGGATCCTAGCACCAACCCTAAAGAACCAGTTGATCCAGTCAGCCCTACTCCTCAAGACCCGAGCGTTCCTACCAATCCAACCCCCGATAGCCCAATGGGCCCTACCAACCCGACGAATCCTGATAGCCCAATGGGACCGACCAATCCAACGAATCCCGATAGTCCAATGGGCCCTACCAATCCGATTCCCGAAGGTCCAATGGGACCTACTGATCCAATCCCTGACGGTCCAATGGGCCCTACCAATCCGATACCTGATGGCCCAATGGGACCTACCAATCCGATTCCCGAAGGTCCAATGGGTCCTACCAATCCGATTCCCGAAGGTCCAATGGGTCCTACTGATCCAATCCCTGACGGTCCAATGGGCCCTACCAATCCGATTCCCGACGGTCCAATGGGCCCTACCAATCCGATACCTGATGGCCCAATGGGACCTACCAATCCGATTCCCGAAGGTCCAATGGGACCTACTGATCCAATCCCTGACGGTCCAATGGGCCCTACCAATCCGATTCCTGACGGTCCAATGGGCCCTACCAATCCGATACCTGATGGCCCAATGGGACCTACCAATCCGATTCCCGAAGGTCCAATGGGTCCTACCAATCCGATTCCCGAAGGTCCAATGGGTCCTACTGATCCAATCCCTGACGGTCCAATGGGCCCTACCAATCCGATTCCCGACGGTCCAATGGGTCCTACCAATCCAATCCCTGATGGTCCAATGGGCCCTACCAATCTGACTCCTGAAGGTCCGACGAAGCCCATCGATCCCAGTCCACAGGACTCTCCTGTTGACCCCACCTCGCATACCCCTGGTTCAAAGATCGCTGTCATACCCGATGAACCAAGTTCCCCACAAGGCCTGGATACTCCGGCTGGCCCTGATTCAAGAGGCGTTCTCAATCCCGATACCATGATCGACCCCAAATAGCGTCATTAAGATGCCACCGCCCATCGCGACCGCTTCCTAAAATAGATCCCAAATCCGCAGTTAAACTGAGATCCCAGTGTGTTGGCCTGCATGAAAACATGTTGTAAATACATTGATGTTTTTTCCCTTCTCTTCTTTCAGATGGGGTTTGCCGGAGCATGAGTGCTGATTCAATTGTCACAGCCCAATCATGGGAATTGATTATTTCACCAATGTTGGCCCGGCGTGTTGCTACTTTCATATGTCATGAGATTAATATTTTAACCCCAGATTGTACAGCAGTGGTACTGTTTGAAATAGCTTGACTAGAAACTGCTATTTGAGGACTAATTAGTAGGTTTCGATTGGTAGTTATCAATACCATATGCTATCGGTTATAACTAAACAGCCTCCAAATAACTCAGCGATTAATGAAAGATACAAATTTCATAACTGTTAGCCATAGTCATCCTTATTGTAACAAAAGGCACCAGAAGAACAGAAATGGAGAGTTCTGATACTGGCATGGAGCTATTAGAAGCTGCCAAAGGAATTGCCGGCGAGCCCTGATATTAGCATGCATTGGGGGAAAAAAATCGCCACGGCCCCAACCGAAGACACACCAGAACCCTGAGCTTGGAGACTTAGGCAATTACATGACGGCTAGCATAGAGCAAGGGGATTATAAGATTATGCTAGATGGCGGTACATTTCCCAAAAGGTATAGCCAGTATCCAACTTATTCTATTTTCTTCTCATGCGCTTCCTTTTGACTTCTCTTCTTTTTAGACATGGCCTTGTGTCCGGAGCCTAGCCACGGAATAGGAATGAATTTGCCCACTAAGTACTGATAATCATCATACTCGGGGTATTTCTTCGCGGTGATTCGCTCGGTGAGAACGGTGCTTGCTTGAAAGAGTAAAACATACCCCAAAGCACCAATGCCACTCCAGTTAACATATGTCTGAGTGGAATAGCAAGACCAAGCATACAACGTCAGCCAGACAGCTTGTTCTGCAGCGAAATTGGGGTGGCGGCACCAGGACCAAAGACCACTGATAACGAATCCACGATTGAGGTCGTCTGCGGAGAATTTGTCTTTGCACTCTTGAGGCACGCGCGCGGTTTCCTGATACGACTTTTTGGCGTTTTGGAAGTCCCACTGTTGTTGGTCGGCGAAGTATTCAATGATAATAAAAAAGATCATGGCGCGGGAGAATGCGAGATCAGGCAATCCGAACGCTGGGGCGGAGCGGACCGTATTCAGCAAGACGAAGATGTAAGTGGGAGTGGTGACCAAAACCAAGAGGAGAGACTGCGCCAAGCAGATGAAAAAGACGTTCAACAAAAAGAAGATGAAGCGATTGTTGATCCTGTCACGAACGATATTCCACCGATAATCCTGGGAGCCGATAGAGTAGCCGCCTCTTCTCCAGTAGTTATAAGTCAAGCGAGCCTGCATCATTGGCCGACGGTTAGTTGTGGGTTCATACAAGCAGAAAAACGAGCTTAAATAAGGAGCTTTTCAACTTACGCCCCAAATAAAAGTGCAGACAAATGCAGTCCAGGTTCGGTCCGTCGAGACGCCATTCAGATGAGACCAAAGAACGTAATGCCCATTATAGATAGGGGGAAGGATGCTCCACAAGCGGTCAACTTGAGAATAATTCTTATTAATTTCCGACACAACCAGTAACAATGGAACAAGGAAGAGCGAGAACGAGATAGCGACGACTAAAGGGTTTGTGCTGGTGTAAACGTGCTTGAGGGCTTGGAAGTCGCGTCCTGCGTCGAGTATCGCGGGAGGCAGGGATGCCAGCTGAGAAATAAAAGGCTGAACGCTCAAAGTGAAGTTTGCGCAGTCTGGAACAGCTGCTAGAGTGGGCAATGCCATGATGGAGCAAGCTGGGATGTGGCCGTCCTCGCTGGTGATGTTCGACGTCCGGGCGTGTTTACAGATGAGGTCAAGCTGCCCCAACGCCGCGCGCTTACGAGTGACACAAGCGCACAAGCGCCGCGCTAAAAAGAAGCTTAACGCGTCGACGTGCAACACGCGATGCAGGCGAACATCCAGCCGACGAGCATCTGGATGACGCTGGGATGCCATGACAGGCAGATGAGCTGCATCCCGCCTACACGGTGGGCAGTAAAATGGGCGCCAGAATTCTTTGTGTTGCCGAGAAACCAGCCATTGCCAAAGCAGTTGCTCAACACTTGTCTGGTGGCGCGTTACGAACGGTGCTTTGACTCCGAAGAAGTTACCCCTAGAGGCTGGAGTTCTGCTAATTCGACCTCTAGGCATCGATTCGTGGCAATCAGTACGTGAAGAATTATGAATTTCAGTTCGCATTTGGCCCTCCATGGGGTAACTCCAGTGTGACTATGACGAGTGTCATTGGCCATTTGACGGCATTGGACTTTGAATCACAATGGAGACACTGGCAATCTTGCCCCCCCGGGCAACTTTTTGATGCACCGGTGGCTGAGGACGTAGATAAAGTGTGAATTCTTTGCTGCGAGTTGTTTTCAGAAAGAGTCGATTTATTGACGTCCTTGCGTCTAGGACAATCTCGGCATTGCTGAAAATATTCGGAACAAAGCTAGACAAGCAGATGTTCTGTTCATCTGGACTGATTGTGATCGCGAGGGAGAGCACATTGGCTCAGAAGTGCGAAACCAGGCAGTGCGAGGTAACCCCAGGATTGAAATCAAAAGAGCAAGATTCAGCAACACAGAAAAAGCGTTGGTCATCCATCTCCATCTCTACATCATGCTATCCTAACTCCAAATCAGCCATGTTATACATGCCGCGAGGAATCCAGTCTTGCTAGACGAACGTCAAGCCCACGCAGTTGCCGCTAGAATTGAACTGGACCTTAGGATCGGCGCAGCCTTCACCAGACTTTTGACGCTTCAATTGGGAGCTTTGGGAGGGGCTCTCGCAGAGCGTCTAATCAGCTACGGTACGCAGGGACATAACCGTTTATTGAAATTGCCTGACAGCTTTAGGCTCTTGTCAATTTCCGACGTTGGGATTCGTCGTAGACAGGTACTTTCGCGTTAAGAATTTCAAACCTGAGCCATTTTGGTCGATCAAAGTATCACACACGCGAGACCGCAAAACCGTGAATTTCAACTGGAGTCGAGGTCACCTATTCGATAGAGCCGCAGTGGTAGTATTGTTTGAAAGATGTTTAGCTGCCAAAACAGCAAAGGTCACGAGGGTTAACAAAAAGCCTACGAAAAAGTGGCGCCCGCTACCATTGACGACTGTAGATTTGCAAATGATGGGAACGAAATTCCTGCGAATGGACAGTCAAAAAGTCATGAAAGTAAGACCTATACCACTTCCTACCATCATGTCTGACTTTAACGTCTATACCTAGGTTGCAGAGTCCCTTTATACTAAAGGTTTTATAAGTTACCCTCGAACAGAAACAGATCAATTTGACAAAGGAATAGACTTAAAGAAATTGGTGGAGAAGCAGGTTCAAGACGGGGCATGGGGTCCATATGCCCAAGGGTATGCTTTCCGTTGTTTTGTCTGAGTTGCGAGAAACATTTGGTTAACACGTTGTAGACTAATGGATGGTGCGTTTAAGCAACCACGCTCGGGTCGCCATAATGACAAAGCTCATCCTCCAATCCACCCTGTGACCTATGTCGCATCCTCTGTACTTACTGCTGACGAACGACGGGTCTACGAGTTTGTTGTTCGCCGATTTCTTGCTTGCTGCTCCGAAGATGCCAAGGGCGAGACAACAGAGGTTGATATCCAGTATGGAGACGAGAAGTTCCATGCACAGGGACTAGTGGTTCTAGAACGGAACTATCTAGACGTATACGTATACGATAAATGGGAGAGCAGCCAGGAACTCCCAAAATTCACCGTCGGTGAAGAGTTCGAGCCGAAAGAGGCCATCATCAACGAAGGCAAGACCGTTGCTCCGAACTATCTCACCGAACCGGAGCTTATCGGCCTCATGGATGCCAACGGGATTGGCACCGATGCTACCATGGCGGATCACATCGCCAAAATCAAAGAGCGGGAATATGCAGCCACAAGGCGCCGCGGCGGGAGCGGCAGGAATTCTGTTGATGAGTTCATCCCGACGAAGCTTGGTGTTGCGCTGGTTGAGGGCTATGATGATTTAGTGCTCGATCTAGCCGATTGCCCTAGTCTTTGCAAGCCGTTTCTACGGAAGGAGATGGAATTGCGTATGCGAGATATATGTGCGGGAACTAGAACGAAGAGGCAAGTTGTAAGTGAGAGCCTGGAAATGTATCGCCAGGTTTTTGTGCACACACAGCGCAGAATGGAGGTCCTCAAAAGATCTTGCAGGAAATATGTTTTTGATGAAGGAGGATAGCATCTAGCTAGCATTTAATTTCATAAAATTAGCAACTGTTGAATGCCGCATTTTTCGATTACTTTGTTATAAGCGAGTTTATAACTCCATGAACCAAGATTTAGGACTTTATTCTTTCCAGTATAGAATTCCATAAAACAATGCTTTTTCTTTTAAACCGCCAACGTGCCCATTAAGTTGCCCACGAAAATGTAATGTAAACCGGTACTGAGCCGTCGAATCATCCTGCGAACAAGGGGCAAACGCTCCTGGACTCCACATCAAAAAAACCGTAAAAGCCACACCATAAACATCCCACGAAAAAGCGCAAAAGACCGTAACGCCGGCTTTTCCTTCTTTCACCTCGTCCTTTTAGCTTGTAAATTGGAGGGGTAGGTCTACGCCCAAAAACAATCTCTTCTTGCATTTATCCTGTCTCCACGCCACAGGCAACGCGGTCAGTTTTTTTGACAAGCGCGTTCGGGGGGATTTCCATCAGAAGGCGAGAAGGCGAGAGGAAATAAAGGCCGTGATGGTAAAGGCGGGACGGACCACAGACCGCAGCGATTTTGGCCAAAAGATCTAATGGGTTAAAAAGAAGTCAGCTGCCTGTAAAGCGCTTGAGAAATAACCAAGGATGTATCCATACCGGTAAGTTCATTCAGGGGCACTTATTTTTTCTTGCCCTTCTTTGAACCGCCTTTCTTTTGGCCGTCTCCACCGGAACTTGGAGGATCTGGAGCTGCCCAACGGCTGGGACTCCAACCCGGGAGGTTTCGGTTCAGGCGTCGCGGTCGCCCACCTACTTGCCTCAAGTCCGGCGGGCTTTGGTTCGGTCGGGCCAGCAGAAGCCCATCTGCTGGCTTCGAGCCCAGGAAGCTTGGGTTCAACAGAGGTTGAAGTCTCGGGAGACTTGGGTTTTGACTCTGTTTCCCCCTGGGGCACGGCAGACTTCTCAGAGGATCCAGTCGCTGGCGGTTCGTCTTTCTTGTCCGACTTGGATTCGCTCTTCGAGTCAGCGCCCTCTGTCACTGAACTTTGTGAAACCGGTGGCTTCTCCTCCTTGGAACCTGGAGGTGAAGTTGTAGGTTTGCCCGGCTTCGCATCATTCTTGGCTGGAACTTGAGACGGCGGTGCTTGCCCCGATGGCGCGGCACCGAAAGTGACTTTCTTGCGCTCAATTCCCAGCTTGGTGACACAACTGGCAATGTCGAACTCGTGGATCCGGAGGATTGAGTTGATCCCGGTGATGTCCCGTCCGGCTTGCAACGCGCGTTCTCGTAAATCTTGAACCGCGAGTGCTGAGCTTATTGCCGAGTTGTCAGCTTCCCTTGCCATGTCTTTGACCTTTTTCAGCTCTTCAATGGTGACAGCTCCCTGAACGCTGCCACCAACCGGCCGAGCTTCTAAATCCTTCACCTTAGCAGATAACCCGTTTACATCGCTCTTTAGAGAATCGATGCTCTTGTCCCGGGTCTTCAAATCGTTGGATACCTGCGTGTTGAGTTGCTTGCAGGCATACTTGACATCCTCGTGTGTGGCGCAATGGCTTCGAATGGAGTCTAACTCCCCATTGAATGATCGCTCCAGCTCTTTCGAGGACTTTTCCAACTTGAGAAGATCTGCTGGCCAGGTCTTCGAGATCCAGGTCTCCAAGGAGCCATCCGTTCGGCGAATGGCATCTGAAAGGGCCTTGGTTTCCTGCTTCGTTGCCAGAGTTTCCTTGAGCGCCGCGATTTCATTAACTGCGGCCAGTTGAACATCAGTGAGGGAACTACCCCGTTGCCAGGGTTGTTCCGCTTTCAACTGGTTAACAAACTGGCCAACAAGTTTAACGTCAGCGGCCAGGTTCTTCTGTTCTGTCTCCAAGGTTGTTGATGTTTTCTTGACAGAAGACAGCTCGTGGCTGAGTGTGGCGATCTCGTCTTCGACCCTGGTGAAGGATTCGGTCCATGGCTGGCTGTCCACCTTCTTCTGAATCAGCCTGAGACTTGCCTCGACACTGGCGACTTCGGAATTCATCACTACGGACTCCTTCCACTGATCGAGGTCTTTCTGCAGGCGCGTGATCCGGGTTGTCAACTCTTTCGAGTCAACACTTGGGCTTGAAGGTGGCAGCTGCTCCAACCGTTCGTTGAAGCCCTGTAGTCGAACAGCAAGTTCGCTTTGTGGCAACTCCCACGGTTTTGCCTCCCATTGAGCGACCAGTCCTTGGACCTGGTCCTGAAGGGACTGCAGAAAACCGCTGTCTTTGGCGTTGGTTGCCTTTTCGGTAGCGAAGTCGGTAACTTGTCGTTGTAGCTGTTCGAATCGAGCATCGAACTGGTCGACCTGCGTTCGGATCTGGACAAGGCCGTCTCCTACTAGCTCAGGGATTTGCTGTGGCCAAGCACTGACCGTCGCAGATAAGTCGTTGAATCGGCGTTCGAGAGATTGGAAGTTGTCGACGAATCCCTCGAATTTGGCGATGAATGAATTGACACGACTTTGTTCTGCTGCCAATTGGGCTTGAACATGTTCAAAGCCAGCTCCCTCCAGAGGCTGACTGGACACTCCGTGCAATTCACGAGTGAGTCTTTGGATCTGACGGGCGAACCACATCATCACCATGGATTGAACAAGCACCAAACTGGCGGCGACGGTGTAGATATTCGGGTGTCGACGCATGTGGTCCCCGACGAGTAAACCTAGTCTGGCAACGAACCATTCCGGGTATTCTGAACTGTCCTCAACCAAGAAGTTGTCGAACACAATGTGTTCGGCACCTCCAAAGGGGACAGTCGGTGTCGGGATTATTGCAGTCGTCACGGTCGCTGACGGGATTGAATCATCTGTTGCCGTCTCTAACACGCGTGAAACGAGGGTTTCCCCAAGAACCGGGTCAGTAGACGGCAATGTTTGATTCAACAAGCTCGAGAAGTCATTCACGGGCTGATTAAAGCGACAGTAGAGGGCCGAAACACCCTGTGCAGCGGCGGTGAGCTGGAACGAGCCCACCAGTCGCTCGGCCACTGGTCTCTGTGGGTTGAGAGTTGTCAAGGGGACAGAGAACCAATTGCTAAATATTGTGAGCCCCGCGAAAAGCACCACAAGAATTGTCGGCTCCATTCTCTTCGAAGTGAGATTGAGAGGGCTAATTTACAATGTCAGACGTAGATTTTCGGATTGGGGTCCTAATACTAACCCGAGAAGGAGGTGGTTGAAGATCTAAAGTAGATCGGGATGGTGCAAAAGTTTGCACGAGAGGATTCAAAGAGCGAAGGATGGCTGGATGGAGGGATATGGAGGGTAGAGAGAGAGAGATTGCCGGCTCTTGAAAAGGAGAGAGATATCACGTCAAAGTGATAGATTGGAGAGTTGAGAGTGGAGGATGAGAAGGCAGGTTCAGTGGGAATCGAGTGATCGAAAGATGAAGGAAAGAAGAAAGATAGAGAGGAGAGGGAAAATATAAAAGAAGAGATTTGTGGGCGTTTGTTTTGAGAAAGGACACACGTGCTAAGCGAGAATCTAAGCAACAGAAAACAGGGCAATTTAAACGGAAGTTCCCGTTGCTAGGGCAAGTTTCGTCACCGAGCAATGCTCAAAGAAAAAAGAATCAGACGGAGAGCTCGGTGGAGGGAATCTGGCATGGGAGGCTGCCAAGCAGTCAGCTCCTAGAGGCATTCTACGCAGGTGAGGCCTCTCTGATAGAACGGCAGTGGCGGCGGGTCGGCAGCACTCAGGTGTCTCTCTTTGCTTTTATACTGCCATGTATTTGCAATAAAGCCGACTCCTTTCAACCACATTTGCATGGCATTACAAAGGGCCATGGATACAACTGGGCAAACAAACGCTATCACTCAAAAGATAATGGAAAGTAAGAGTTACTGTTTCTTCTCTCAAGAAGAACCAAGCAATTGATAACTACAACAACTAGACAAAGGGAATATAACCACTGGACGATGTTGCTCATGTGGTTCAAAATCGGGTGTTCCCTGTAGCCCAAGCCGTTCTGTATGTCTCTGGGTAGACGTCTCCATAGAAGAACGAGCATTTAGTTCTTGGTCATGTCAAGACAGCCGCTTCTGACGCAGAAGATCCATTGTCAGCCAACAACAAAGAGGACCATAAGTCCACAGAACAAGAGGCATTCTTTCAGCAGAGCAGACAAACAGCAGGGCTGCTTGCTTTTGACCTGGTTGCAGCATTGGGTGTGATTCTTTCTTGAAGATGAAGTCTGGATGGAGATTGAAGATGGTCGTTGCGACAAGGTTTGTCACGTGATGTAAATACGATACAATTGCGCTAGTAACAGACCATGTATTGCTAGTTACATAAAATACCGCTAACTAGTTACGGTTAAAGTCGCTCATCCCGCGAATCATCCAACGCGTGACGCCATTTTTAGATCCTCGTCAACTATGAGTAACTTGTGCACTGCTCAAGTAACAACACGTCCGGAGCCGGGTACAGCTCTGCGTAGATGTTGAAGACTTCATCCCTCTGAGATCGGATGCGGAAAATACTGCCCACCAATGCGCAACTCTGGCTGATGAGCCATGGACGTCGATGCTGTTTGGAACCAGACAGCTTACCTTCATTTTGGCTGTTCGGTTGGATGCTTGTTTGTGCGACCCGTGCCAATGACGCCATCGGTGTACGGCCCTTGGAGAAGCTTGGTTGATGCTTGGTGGATTGGCGGTCTTGGTGCTCCATCCCTGAACACCAACTCACCATCGTCCGGCATGTCTGGTGCTGGGGGCCATTATTCCAAATGATGCACAACCCAAGATGTCATCCACAATTCCCGATGACGTGAGCCATTCGGGAGAGGGTTCGATGCCCACACTCCTGGCCTTGGGCGAGGAGGCCTCAGCCGCAGAAGGTGTGCCTCGCCTGTGCAGATCACCGACCAGGGAGTTCTCTGCACCGACCCTCGAAGGGGTGCATTGGTGCACAAATCAACGGGCTCCTCCGTGCGGAGAGGCAGACACTATTCTCCAGCTGTGGAGCATGTCTGTTCAGACGATCGCCCATGCCGGAGCAGTGGGTACGGGAAAACAAAGCTTCCTCTCTTCTGCGGCCGGAACCATGGGAGGACGGTGTCCAACTCGGATACGCTGGGCCGATTCACAGGCGCATGGTGTTCCTCTCATCCCAGAAGATACCGTTATGACATAAAGTCCGTCTGGTCTGCCTTGTATAACTTCTCCGCGGTTTCCTAGGCTGAGGATCTGCCCAAGTTGACATGTGGTGCTGCCCACCCAGATCGGAGCACTCCATCGTCCCCGTCCCTTTTTATATTTAGCCCTCCATCTCCCCGCGTCCCACTTGGCCCAATTCCCTGTTGTAATCCAGATCTCTATCGCTTCTCTTTTTCTATCGAGTCTTCCGAAAATGGACCCAAAGCACGAAAAGGGCGGAGGTAGTCCTCAGCAGGAACAGGATGAGGTCAAGGTCGAAAGTAGCAATGCCATCTACGACGTCGAAAATCGAACAACCTCCGGGAAGATGAATGCCGTGTTTGAGAACCCTCTGGCACGGGTATCCCGAGACCAATTGCTGGCTGACGTCGAACGGTTTTGCCAAAAATTCAACCTCATGGACCACATCGATGTCTTCAGAAAAGGAGCTTTGGTGTCCCAGAATCCAAGCGGTGCAATGGAGCTACCGGATCTCGATGATGAGGATAGGGAGGCCTTACGAAAAGAGACCACACACAAATGGGCACAGCCAGCTGCACTTTATCACCTTACGAGTATGTGATGCTGTTCCAGTCCGCCATGCTAATTGCTAAGTCCAGTTTCGGTAGTTATGTGCTCCATCGCTGCGGCCGTGCAGGGTATGGACGAGACGGTCAACAACGGTGCGCAGAGGTTATATTTGGACGTGCGTCTACCCCTGCCTACACCACCCACCTTTTGGCTAATATTCATGATAGCGGTTCGGCATCAAACCTTTCTCAGAGGGTGGAAGGTTCTCACAAGCAATGACGGACAACTTGACGGGACTGATTGTCGGTGCTCCATATCTGGCCTGTGCCATCCTTGGTTGCTGGTTGACGGAACCTCTCAATCGATATACCGGTCGCCGAGGCACCATCTGGATTTCATGTCTCATAGCTGCAGTTGCCTCCGTCTGGGAAGGTGTCGCTAATTCCTGGGTCAACCTCTTCATCGCTCGTTTCGTCCTTGGTCTAGGCATCGGTTCCAAGTCGTCTACCGTTCCTGTCTACGCAGCTGAATGTTCGCCTGCCCCTATTCGCGGTGCATTGGTTATGATGTGGCAAACGTGGGTTCTGGTATCTTCAACACAAGGTCATAATATACTCGGCTGACGCACACTTCTAGATGGACGGCCTTTGGTATCATGTTGGGAAACATCATGGGCGTGGCATTCGGGGGTTTGGAGCCTGACCTGGCATGGCGTCTTATGCTTGGCTCAACCGTTGTCTTACCTCTCGTTGTCTGCGCCCAAGTCTACTTTTGTCCAGAATCCCCAAGATGGCTCATTGAGCACAATAAGATCGAGAAGGCATTTAGATCGTTCCGCATCCTTCGTCCCACGGACCTCCAGGCTGCTCGGGACCTCTACTATGCCTACGTTGGAGTCGAGATAGAACGAAAAGTAAACCGAGGCAAAAACTTCTTCACTATGGTCTGGGAACTATTTACAATCCCCCGCAACGCCCGTGCTACTCTCGCATCTACCATCGTGATGTGGTTGCAGCAGTTCTGCGGTGTCAACATAATCGCGTACTACTCAACCGAAATCTTCCGCGAATCCGGTTTCAGCATGTCCTCCGCCCTCCTCGCCTCCATGGGCACCGGTATCCTCAACTGGGTCTTTGCCCTTCCCGCCTTCCTCACCATCGACACCTGGGGCAGACGCAACCTCCTTCTCTTCACCCTCCCCTGGCTCGCTCTCTTCCTCTTCTGGTCCGGCTTTTCCTTTTGGATCGAACCGGGTGATCCTCATAGCAAAACCAGATTAGGCATGGTCACAACCGGCCTCTACCTCTTCGAAGTGTTTTACTCCCCCGGCGAAGGTCCCGTTCCGTTCACCTACTCCGCTGAAGCCTTCCCACTGCATGTCCGTGAAGTCGGCATGTCCTGGGCAACGGCGGTCACTTGGTCTTTCAACTTTATCATCTCGTTTACGTGGCCTCACTTGCTCAGCGCGTTCAAACCGCAGGGCGCTTTTGCCTGGTATGCCACCTGGTGTTTGATCGGGTGGTTTTTGGTTCTCTTCTTCGTCCCAGAGACTAAAGGTTTGTTTATTGAGGCTCCCTGGCAATTCTTGCAATTTGGGGTGATTATACTAATAACATTGATCTCCCTGTAGCCCTCACCCTCGAAGAGCTCGACCAAGTATTTTCGGTCCCGACTAAGAAGCACGCCTTGTACCAATTGAAAAATGCCGTTTGGCACTTCCGCACTTGGATTTTACGGGAAAAGCTGGATCCATTGCCCAAACTTTATGTTCATACCGATGATAAACTAAATGAATCTTGAGGCAAACTGGGCTGACACCATTTGCAATGGAGTAACTATAATTTTATTTGAGATTGGTGTTGTAATTTGAGGAATCACTTTCTCTTTCCATGGGCATTTTTCTTGTGAGCTCCAAGGCTATATTGCCATCGATACGCAGTATACGCTCTAGAGAACTGAAACAAAATTGCCCAATACCATTGATTAAGACTTTGACAGTTAATAAATTCCCCCTTTTCAGGACTACCTGCGTAGAAAACCAGGAACTGAACAAGTACAGTTCGAATATTAGAAATCCCTGCCGCCAAACTTCATCCAACGCCAAAGAACCCTTTCTCATTTTAAAGAAGACTACGACATGGAACTCCAACGCTTGCAAAAAACCAACGAATAATAACGAGGGGGAGTTATTATTCCGGCCCAAAGTGTCGAGACGGAGTGTGGACGTAATTTGGGTTGAACGTCGTGGACGTCCACCAACGACTCGACCTCCTGCCGCGCGAGACCGAAGGACTGCCGGAGCGAAACCGTGCCGGCCAAGTGATGTCCTCCTTGACCGGCATGCGGTCCGCCGCCCTCTTGGCTTTCTGCCTTCTCACGATATACCGGCGGCCTTCCTGGTAGTCGACGACCGACGGGCTTTCGCAGAGCAGGTTCCGCTCTAGCTCCGGCGGCACCTCACTCTCGGAGTCGTGCCCCTGGGAATCGCTGTCGCTGTCGCCACCGGCAAGGTGGAGAATCTCTTGGTCCAGGGCGGAAAGGGGAGCGTCTGGGGAGTATGGGGGAGCGTCTGAGTGATCAGGCTCCTCTTCCATTACTTCCTCGATGTGCTCGTCCAGCGTCTTCCGTGCTGAATCGAGAGCGGCTTGCGCTAGGGCGATATCCTCCTCGAGAGCGATAATGTCGGCCTATACCACCAGGGTTAGTATGGATATTGCACAGCCTGATTAAGAAAAGGGATAAACCCCAACTTACCTGCAAGTATTGAACATCGCGCTTGACAGCGCACGTCTTCAGGCTGACGTCTTCTGCTTCCTCGCGAGCGTCCCGTATGTCGCTGTGAGCAGCGGTGACTTCCTGCTCAAGGTCGTCCATGTCGTCGAGCAGCCCATCGACGAGCTCCTTGGTCTCTTGACAGGCTTTCGCCATGCCATCGCGGGCGGCGGTGACTTTGCCGTCAACCTTACTGCGCTCACTCTTGAGCTCCCGAACGAGCTCCTCGGTTTGCCGGCAGGCCTCGCCCATGTCCTCCCGGGCAGCGACAATTCTCCGCTCCAGCTCGCCGTGCTCCTCCTGCAGTTCATGGATGAGCTGGTCGACCGCTTTCTGCTTCGGAATTTTCTGGGTTGCCTTTTTGATCCTCGCTACCTGAGACTTCAGACGCGCTTTTTCGGATTCAAAGACTTCGACCCAGTTTCCGAGATGGCTTTCACGCAAGCGAGAGGTGACCTTCGTGAACTCCTCCTTGAATGAAGGGATCAGCGATCTCGCCGCTTCGATTTCCTCTAGAAGCTCGTCCTTGGCATCTTTCAGCGATTCCTTGAACTTCTTGAGATGTTCTCCCAGCAGGCCGTCTCTCGACGGGAAGGGGAGATACTGCTCTTGAACTCTAGCGGCGGAATCGATGACGTTGTTGGTGACCTCGTTCGCTCGACGCTCAGAGAAGCTAAGTAGGTGATTGATTTGCACAATCCGCTCTGACATAAGCTTCTCGTTGCTGGAGATCATTGCGTCGATTTTGTTAGCAGAGGTAACCATCGCTTTGTTTGCAGCCTGGAGCTTCTTCAGCAATTGGGCCTGCTGGCAACTGGCCTCGTCGATAGCCAGGGCAACTTGATTGCTGTCCATTAGCGCCTTGCGGATCATTTTTGCTCCAACTTCCTTGCATACGGTGTGAACGGTCATGAGGAACATAGAAGTCGTCCCAAAGATCACCGCTAGAGCACAGCCGAAAAGAACATAAACGACCACCACGAAAGGCAACCGAGGATATGTTGAGGAGACAGCCACCCACTTAGCGGCGTGACTGCCTAGCAGTTGCGCTTCGAGGATCCAACTGTAGTTGTTTTTTGGTTCGGCAGCACTAGCTGCCTCAGCAGTTGAATCCATGGCTCGTGCTTCAGGGAAGTTAGGCAAAATTGCCGTGTCAGCAGCCGCTGTCGTAAACGCCGTGATCGTAAGGGACCCTGTAGGACTGGGCAAGTTACTGGCAAGAGTAACTGGGGGGACAGAGCAAATCGCGGAGGGGACAATCGTGCTGCTGACACTTGTATAGGCAAGTGCAGGGACCGTGGTCGCAGGGAGCTCTATCGACTTTCGCCATGGGCCGATGGCGCCAACGGCTTCCCCGATTTTGTCCAGCACAAAGCCAAGGCGAAGGCCACCCTGCATTCGTAGAGGAACAGGGGCATCGGGATGAATGATTCTCATAGGAATCGTTTGAAATGCCCCGAAAAAGGCCATGGAAAGGGAAACCAGAAACAATCCAACTAGTTCCATGCTGAATGAGTACTCGATGGAAAACGGTTTAACGGTCGAACGCGACCTACAGCCCAGTTAGTTAGTATAAAATTTAATAAAATCATGACAGAAAAGAGTATTTAGGCCTTCTCTAGCAGGATAAATCATCTAGTTGTATGATGCTGCAGCAATCAAAGTCTGGAACTGACCTTTCTGATCCCCTTACAAGGTGGCTTATTGAAGCAAACCAGACCGACACAGATCGGTGGCTGTGATACTGGGAGGGTCTGTTCCCTTTTAAAAGATATTTATTCTGACTTGAAGGCAAGAACCCAATGCTTGGATATTCGCCCCAGAACGGAGAACAGTAGCTGGGTAATTGTTGGGTTCTAGGCACAAGAGCAGAAGGGACGGAGACTCGTAAACTTTTAAAAGTAGGAATGGAAATGAAAGGAGTATGAATGATGGGGTAGCTTGGAAGTTGTAGAGATTTTAGTGAAAGGAATGTAAACAAGAGTAGTCGGAGAGGAAGAAAGAAAGTGAGAGGAGGAAAATTTTAAGGCCCCCATTCTTCATGTGTCATAGAAGAACAGATTCAGCGAAAAGTGACGGGAATTGCCTATAAACACAGTGTGACGAGTAAAGCTTGAGCAAATTTGTAGCTTCACTTCCGAAATAAACGGAATCTGCCGCCCACTTGGTTCTCCATTCAATTCCAAGTATGAAGTAGTGGTAGTCGTAAAGGCCTCTATTGAACTTGATAAGGGGGAAATTCAAGACCATATTTGATTCAAAGATCACGGCCTTGAAGATGTAGGTTACGTAGGAGCATCATTTCACTCGCCCGTAGATCAATCAGGAAGTCGTCAGATTGACAATGGCAGTTAGAGAATATTGTCTCGAAGCTTCTGTTCCATTTTATCCAAAATAGCTTGTTCAAAAACCAGTAATCGGTTTGCCAATCGCAAATGTATTTTTGATAGGAGTTTAAAACATAGGCTGATAGATTTAGGGGATTATTATAAATTAGCATTTGAGGCATCGGAAGAAATCAACATAGATCATCAAACCAGGTTACCATGGTCTGAAAGACTAGGAAACCCTTGACCGAAATCAAGGTTCTCCCTTGATAATCTTATCAGGGATTCAATATGTGGTTGAGGCCCACCTTGGGTTTATGAGATCCAATATACGAAGGCAAAAATCATGGGAAAGGACTGATGCGTATGTATTGACTTCAAAATAGAGATAGGCACGCTTAAGAAGTTAAGATGGCGATTCCCCGTTAGACTAAACGGTCGGCCAGCGTTTTGCCGTAGTATAAAGTAGCTGCGAGACCAGCAAGGTTGATCAAGGTAGAAATGCCGTGCAGGCGTCCAAAAGACTTGTTCAGTTTCATCATCTCTTTTGAATGTGGCCCAGGTTCATGGTATTTCTTCCTGTCCACGGATTCTTATGGAATGTGTTAGTGTCAAGGGATCCCCGCGAGCTTCGGCGGCTATTGACGAACCTTGGAGCTCTCTCTCCTTGTTGACTCTGGAGACTGCAGGTTCCAATACCAACATATTTGTTAGGCCGCTAAGGAAAGTGATGGCAATTGGAAGCAAGGTTGAAAGTCGATGGTTTTCGGCCAGGACACCAGATATGCTCGAGGGGCCAACACCTCTAAATGATCTCTCGCCCGGGTATGTTATGGCGGTTACCAAAGGCAGGATAGTTTGCAGGCCGAAGTATACCGGAAAGATTGATGACTGTAATGCTGCAAACTGCGGACGAGGTAGGCTCTTGAATGCGATAATCCCCCCTACAAAGCTCTATGAAAGGATTAGCTGCCACGTTAGATAAGATGTACTTGTAACAAGCGTACTTGATAGGTTTGGGCTCCTAGCAATGTTCCATAGCTATATAGCGACCATTAGCTTTGCCCGAGTCCTAGAGTGAGCAACGATTCCGATCATGATACCTGATGATATGAAATGGGGCTAAATAATTAGCTTTCTCAGCCATTTTTGCAAAGTAGAAGATAATAGAGAGTTCGTCAATTGATAAGCCGCAATCCTCGCACTGTTGAGTCGCATCTTCATCTGAAGTCTGATGGAGACCCGGAGAAGGTGAGGTTGGAGTGCTTAGTCAGTGATTTCGTCATGTCACGTGCTCTCGCGTCAACCTTAACTTGACGTTCCCGCCGAGACGCGTCTGCCTGGAGCATCTGAAAGGGCGGTATGGATGTGAGACTGCAGGCGATTTCACACACTCGATTGTCCATGCTATTGATCTTCTGATTTTCAGGTGGATAGGAGGTACAATGGCTGAAAAAGAAGCTACAGTGTACATCGTGGATGTTGGGGAATCCACGGCGAAATGCCATTCGGGAAGAACGATATCGGATCTAGATTGGATGATGAACTATGTCTGGGATAGAATCACAACAACGGTAGGCCGGCTCAAAGATACTGTATCTCATTTGTATTAACACGTCTCTTTTAGGTTGCTACAGGGAGGAAGACGGCTACTATTGGAGTAGTCGGGTTGAAAACAGATGGCCAGCATTCACCGTCGTCCGTTTTTAAGCATACATTCTAATTTCTCTACAGGCTCTTCAAACTATTTGTGGGAGAAGGACAAGGAAGACAGTTATGCACATTTATCAGTTTTTCAAGGCATTGGGCAGTATGTTACAGATATGGCAATGAGAGCTCTTCGTTTACTAACGCCCTTAGAATGCTATTGACGGACATTCGCAAGTTACGCGACGTGATGAAGCCAAGCAAGACTACTGAAGGTGATGGTATGGATTGAGTGTACGATACGCATGGGCTAACATTTCACTGACACTTTATAGCAATATCTTCGATCATCCTAGCCATTGATATGATTGAACGGTTTTGTAAAAGGCTAAAATATAAACGGAGAATTATTCTCGTCACCGACGGAAAAGGTCAAATGGATTCAGACGGCATTGATGGAATTGTTACGAAGATCAAGGACGAGGGAATAGAGCTAATAATTCTGTGCGTTCCTATATGCAATTTAACCTCCCATACGGTACTGATGACAACAGTGGTGTGGATTTTGATGATCCTGACTATGGAGTCAAGGAGGAAGACAAAGATCCGCAGAAAGTACGTTGCAAACATTACATTGTGAGAAACTAATGCTGACATTACTAGATCGAAAATGAAGCCACGCTCAAGCACCTAGCCGATAGGTGTGATGGAATGTTTGGAACCCTAGCCCAAGCCATTGATGAGATGTCTATTCCTCGAATCAAAATCGTGAGATCGAATCCGTCGTTCAGGGGCGATTTAAAACTAGGCGACCCTGAACACTATTCCATTGCACTAACAGTCCAAGTTGAGCGGTATTACCGAACATATGTTGCGCGCCCGCCAACTGCAAGTGCATTTGTTTTATCTACCGCACTATTGGACAGACGAGAGGCGGCCGAGTCTGCCACTTTACGAGATGGGGAATCTAGCGCCGAACCCGCTGACCCCAGTGCTAATCTAACGAGTGTGAGGAACGCTCGTTCGTATCAGGTCGATGATAAGGATGCACCTGGCGGGAAAAGAGATGTTCCACGAGATGACCTTGCTAAAGGATACGAGTATGGCCGCACAGCGGTGCATATTAGCGAGTCAGACGAGAATATTACCAAATTAGACACTGATGCTGCCCTGGAATTTATTGGGTTTATTGACAATGAAAATGTATGTTGCCAACCACACCTTTTTGTTTTTTCTTATGGAAAAAAGAGCTAATGTAGCTCATTAGTATAAACGCTACATGAGCATGTCCAATGTGAACGTCATCGTGGGACAAAAACTCAATGAGAAGGCAAGCCTCGCGCTATCTTCCATTGTTCACGCCCTATTTGAACTAGAATGCTATGCCATTGCGAGACTGGTTACCAAGAAAGGCAAACCGCCTTTGGTTGTGCTTCTTGCCCCCCTTATTGAACTTGGCTTTGAATGCCTTCTTGAAGTGCAGCTCCCCTTCGCCGAAGATGTTCGATCTTATCGCTTCCCACCTCTCGACAGGATAGTTACGGTGTCAGGAAAGGTAGTAAAAGAGCATCGAAATTTACCCAGTGACGAACTACTCGATGCAATGGACAAATATGTTAAGAATATGGACCTTTCCGAGCTTGACAACGGGTACGATTACGAGGCATCTTTCATTTAGAATCGCTGCTAACACAGAGCGACAGAAACCCTCTTGAATCCATGGCTTTGGAAGACTCCTTCTCGCCACTTCTTCATCGAATTGACCAAGCGATTCGCTGGCGGGCCGTACGTCCGACTGAGTCCCTTCCTCCAATCCCTAAAATCCTGGATAAATTATCCCATTTCCCGGAGAGATTGATCGACAAAAGCCAATCTAGTCTTAAAGGCCTGATTTCTGTTTCCGCGGTCAAGAAAGGTAAGTCAAACCGGTGGCTTGGTTGACATTTTATGCTTACGATCACAACAGTACCACCTAGAGTGAAGGGTCGTAAACGCAACAGAGATGTAGACAAGCCGCTCTCAGGTCTAAATGTGGACGAGTTACTCCGTGGAGAGAAACGTCTCAAGATATCACCCGAAAACCCCATTCCGGAATTCAAGCAAACCCTTGCCAATACCGAAGATGTCAGCGCGATCGAAGAAGCTGTCAAGCAAATGTCTGTCATTATGGAGACTCAAATCAGAGAGAGTGTCGGCGATGTCAATTACGACCGAACAATTGAAGGTATTGGAACCATGAGGGAGGAGCTAATCGCGTATGAAGAACCGGGGTTGTATAATGACTTCATCCGAAGACTGAAGCAAAAACTACTAGACGATGAGTTAGGTGGCGATAGAAGGGAAATGTGGTGGCTTGTACGAAAGAATAGGCTAGGCTTGATTGATAGTCACGCTTTGGATATATCTGATGTGACGGAAGATCAAGCTCGAGAGGTAAGTAGACAGCGTTCTACTTCACAAACCCCGACTAACTTGTTTGCAGTTTCTGTCATCGCGACCTACAGCTAAAAAAGCGGTGATATGATTGTACTTGGACGCCGTTGAATGACTTCAAGGATGTTGGATGTATTGGCGTATAAGCGGATTCATAGCTTGGGTATAGTTAGTCGTCAGATATCTAAATACATTGCACCTACTCCGTAATGACTTCTTCGCGCCTAATCCTTGAAACGATCGTGCTAGCTCAACGCCGTTAAGAGAGAACTGATTCCAACAAATCAAATCCAAAATTAGGATAAGTCAGGTACTGCTTTTGTATTAAGAGATCTTGTCTGCTCGTTTCTTTCCAATCTGGATTTTTCTCCCGACCCTAGGTCCGTTAGTAACACTAGCAAAGAGGATGAAAGTCGCAGAACCAACCTTTCAACATCCTCATCAACGATATTCAGCATCGCATTCTGGACCTCAAGCTCGTTATTGATCGCAATCCCGAGCTCTCTCTGCCTCGCCACAATCTTGCGTAACTCCTCAACGCCAACATCTTGGTCCGACATAATCTGTTTCTGCAACTGCAACACGCCTTCATTGTCCAGTTGCCGAGTCTGCTCTGTCTCCTTGCCCAGAACCCTCCCAACTTTCGGTTTCGTATGGCTGTTCCCAATAAGAGCTTGTTTATCCTGTATCGAAGCCACCGCCGCATCCAATTTACTCTTCGCAACCATCGCATTTAGTAGATTTTCCAGGCCATCTTTCTCCTTCCGCGCACTGGCCACCAGGTCCTTTCTCCGCCGTAGTTCTCCTTCACCAAGTTTCGCCCCGCCCCATCCGGATTTATCACCTAAATTCTTCAACCCTTCTTCCAGGGCTGCAAGCAACGTGCCGACTTTGACCAGACTACTTTTCGCCTGCGCGGAACATTCATGTTGCTTTTGGGGCGTAGACGCCTGGTCTCTTCTCGTGAGGTGCAGTCTCGCCTCGTGTAAATGGGTTTTGACGTCGCGATGGCAGTCCAACCAGGTTGTAGGATCGGCTATTGGCCCAGCGCCGGGTCCAGTGATAGCAGCATGTAAAATCGACGCGTGAGAGGGGGTGTTGCTCAAGGCCGCGCTGGGAATGTTGAGGAAGGTTCTCCAGGCGCTCGTATCACGCCATCGCGAATCCTCAGAGTCATTTATAGCGCGAAGGTATGTCTCTAGGCCCTTTCGTCTTTCTTCGAGGAGCGTAGGGTTCGTGGTCGTCTTTGAGAGCCAGGACTTGGGTGGCAGTGAAGCGGGCGGTGGGAGGGAGGCTTGATCTATCAGAGAAGTGTGTAAAGAGGTAAAATCGGAATAGCGCTTCTGAGTGGTGAGTGATCGAAGAGGTAAACGAATTGCAATATTGTATATCGTGTACGGTTTCGAGCCGTCGGAGACGGTTGTTGTCGGGATTGATATTTCAATAGAGAGTGCCATGGCTGACGGGTACGGAAGGGATTTAGCGATTTGGAGATAGTCACCTAAAAGGCAAAGGCAGTTATATTTCTTCCCCCTAAATTCGTCTTCCCGTCTTCTCAAGTGGTCGGGCGTTGAAAGACAAGCTGCTTGATCTCAAGGATCGATAACTATCACATGGCGATGACGTACAGTTGAGTTGCGGGTGCCTGGGCAACAGTGGTCTAGTCTGCTTGTCACAAACACTTGAAGGCTTGACGTGCGAGTCAGGGGAAGTGAAATTGCACTTTAATATTAGACTTGGACCGATATTTAAGTTATAGAATTGACCAAGAGTATACATAGTTAGGAGTTGCTTCAATCCGCCGCTTTAAATACTCAAGTTACTGCACCCACCCTCTATCACCTTCTTCCCATAGGTCTCGGAATTCGAGTAGATCGCTCTGGCCATAGAATTCGCCAGAGATACTGATAATCATGTCAAGCATGGCACGAGTTTGTTTTCGCAGTTCAGCGGCTTGGTCCTCCCTCTCGTTCCTTTCCTCGTCATCACCAGCCGCATCCTCCGACCCACCTTGAGCGCCAGTACCAGAGATGTCGTCCGAGAACGTTGAAGCCAATCGAGCCTGCAATCGCGCTTTTGCTTCTTCTAGCTCATCTTTTTCGTTTGCAAGTGCGTCGTCGACTTGAGCGACGGGATCAGAGCCCGTGTCCACCATGGGATAGTCATTTAACAGGCCATTCTGTTGTTCTTTGCTCCTCATGTCCTCACATTCAATCTGATCGCTTATATCTTCTGCAGCTCTTCCAATCACATTCTCGCCGTTTTCCCCTGAATTCTGCTGAATATCCACAGCGTCTTGTTCCTCGACCTCCCGGACTTTCAGTAATATCTTCACTGCCCGTTTTCCTAGCTCCCTAATATCTGCAACTTCTTCGCTTCCCATTTCTCCCACTTCCCGACATCGGGCTAAAAGTCCCCACGCCCACGCAGCTAACCTCTTCACCCTGACGACCTCTCCACTCTTGACTGCATCAGATATAGAGCGTGTAACGAGCGTCAAAACCCGCAGAACATCTTCCGGGTGCATACAAGCAATTTGGACCATATGCGGATCAACGGTTTGTAACAACCATCGCCATTCTTGCCTAGCGTGCTTGCTATCATCAGGCAAAGAAATCGGGTGCTGAGCGTCCAACGCTTCAATCGCTTCGGCGGGTGGAGCACACTTCAGCGTGGAGCGTAATAGCTGAAATCGGTGGCGAAGAAGGTTATAATAAAGCTCTTGCGGATCGGGGGGTTGTTCGTCACTAGGCTCTATAGGAACGCTTACTTCCACAGTTGAGGAGAGAGCAGCGTAAACGCCATCCGAGTAATGTGCGCGACGCACAATGCTTTCGATTCCCATTTGGACCTGAGCTCCGTCCTTGGGGGTTTCGTTCCCGTTCGCAAACTGCTCCTGCGCGATGAAAATGGGTGGAAGGTTCCTAGCTTCCGATCTATGCCAAACCGCGTCCGTAGAACAAATCACGGACCGAAAGAATCAGTAAACCCACGCTCGTACACTAAAGCAGCACAGGAAGAATAGAAAGAGACTTAGCCAATGAATAGAGAAGTTGTAGAGGATCTCAAGGCGCGACTCACCTGACCATTCGTAGGTACTCAATGCCATCTTCTGGGGGGCCGTAGAGTAACTCATCGCCATCATCGTCGTCTAAACCAGGGAAAGCATGTTTTTGACCGAAGGTCGGGTCATTTCGCGGGTACTTGTGTGTGTTTGTTGGCGATCCTGGCGTTGACCCCGTGTTGTCTTCTTCCGGCGACTCAACGACTGAAGGTCGAGGTCTTTTCGCGTTGGGGGATTCACTAGGAGCGGACATCGAGTTTTTACGTTTCATAGACATTCTAGCAATGATGTTGCATTTTCCATCAGTCGGAGCTCCAAGTCCGTGGTCTGCGAGATATCGTGAGTTTATGCTAGGGGATTTAGTTCGCGTCAGAGCAAACGCCAAGACTGCCGGTTCTTCATCGCGCCCATCCTTTTCACGTCATTAATATCAACAAGACCAAATCCATTCTGAGGATACTCCTGATCAAGGTACGATTTTTTATTTTGGTATTCTATCCATTACAGAGTGCACGTTCCCGTGATTCAAGTAGCCACTTACATACTCCCTGCTAGCCGTACTCCCCGGCTACGGGCGTAGTCTCTGGGGGTCACGAGGAAACAATGTCGCCAGTCGAATGTTGGGCAGACCCAAGAAGAACATTACAATACGATTCAACCCAAGCCCTCCACCGGCGTGAGGGGAACATGCTTGCCGGAACGCACCTAGGTAGTCTTCGAACCCCTCAGACTTGGGGTCAACCCCTCGAGCTCTCATTGCGGCTTCGAGTTCTTCGACCTCATTAATACGCTGCGCGCCAGACATGATTTCCTCGCCTCTCATAAAGAAATCATAAGAGTTTGAGAATGTAGGGTCGTCGGGGCATGATTTCGTGTAGAATGGGCGCACAGCGCTCGGGAATTTGTCAAGGACATAAAAATCGGTGTCGTATTTCTCGCGGATAATGCGCCCAAGCTGTTTCTCCATAGCGGTGGTAAGGTCGTTTTCGAATCTCTCCTGTTCAGACACATCAACGCCAGCTTCTTTCAGCAGGGCAATTCCTTCCATATATTTCAATCGAAGAGCTTTACCGTCTTTTGGTAGACGGAAGTCGCCGGCCTTGGGATAGGACTTTTGGATAATGTCAATTTGGTCCTTATAACGAGTCTTCAACTCTGACAGGATGAACACCAAAAGCTCTTCCGCAAACGATAGAACTTCGTGGTAGTGGCGTTGGAACGTTCTTTCAAAATCGAGACCGATAAACTAAATACCCATCAGACGATAGGTCAAAACTTCGCTGCAAGGAGAAGTATCTTACCTCCGTTAAGTGTCTGTGAGTGTTGCTTTCCTCGGCTCTAAACACAGGACCAATCTCAAAAACATTCATCATATCACCCGCGATACACATCTGTTTACCTAGCTGAGGGCTCTGGGAGAGATAGGCCTTCCTCTTGAAATAGCCTAGCTCGAAAACATCAGAGCCACCTTCGGTAGCGGTGCCGGAAAGTTTTGATGTGAAAATCCATCTTGCTCCGCTCTTCAGCATGAATTCTGCAAACAATTGGGCAACACCGCTGGAAATCCAAGTGATAGCTTGACTTGTCTCAGTCTGCAAATCCAAAATACGGTTATCCAGGCGCGTCTTGAGGGTCACGATTGGCGCGCCTTCTGCATCCACTTGTCCTTCCTCGGTAGATTCTGGAGGTGGCCGTTCCGCATCCTTGACTTGCATCGGAAGTTGCTGGGCGGCCTGCGCAATCATGTAGATCTTTCTAATGTGCAATTCCATTGTGCTATATGTCGCTGAGTTCACGGGGATCTCTGGCTTCTTGACGATACCAGTCACCTGCACAATGGAGTTGACATTCAATCCACCAGTCCATTTCACCATATGTTTCGAAATAGGTTCCTGAGCAAAGATCACTGCCTGTACTTTCTTCCCCTGTTGTCTGAGCATCAAGAATGCTAGTTTTGCGCTCTGGACGCGGGCATTGTCAACTCTTGCAATCACCGTGACTTCCTTCTCGTAGAAATCCTCCGTGTCGAATTGAGGGAAATTCGTAATCTGGGGGAAGTCGTCCGTATCTGGCATCTTGCCATATAGATCCTTCGCGGTATCAGCAGCTTGGCTGGCCTGGGCCTGAGCCATTTCTTGAGCGGCGCGTTGAGCGGCTTTCTCTGCTTTCGCTTTCTCCTTGGCGGCCTTCTTCAATGCACTTTTGCTCGGGGCTGCTGGGGCGCCAGCTTCTGAAGCCGCGCTTCCTTCCGGTTGCTGTTCGCCGCTCTTTGGATGGTGGGGCAACGTGGTGGCCGAGGGCTGTTCCATGATCGCGGCGTCCAAACTGCTGGCAGGCAGTAAACGAGTATATCAGGTTGGAAAAAGAGCGATTGTCGCTGAGACGGGTCAGACAGCGAACTACACCAATGACTCACGCACCGGGAGGTGGACGGGTCGAGCGATGAGTCCCCGCCATCGTCACCCGCGCCAAGTTTTCCGAGCCCTAAGCCCTAAATAGTATGCCTGCAAGTTGCATCAGGAACAACGCCTACGGAGAACAACTAGCTATATAAGTCGGTGTACGCATGCCGAGTTCATGGCGCAAGGAGGCTTGAATTTGCAGATAAACATGCTAATGTTAAGTTTGAAACTAAATGGGGTATTGATTTACATAGGTAGGATCGAAAGGAAATAGCCGCTCGCTCAGGTTGGATGGGTATCGAAGGACTCGCTCAAACCTTCCATCTATACCTTTATGGAGAGGTCAACCACTGTGACCTTTTCAGAGCCCACTCAACCGCATCTTGGACCCCGTTCACAATGACCTTCGGTGGCCAGGCTGGCTTTTCTCCCCTGTAGACTCCTGTTTTTACCAGGATAGACGTCCATTCAGTCCCAGTAGCACTGTTGAAAGAATTGGCGCCGCGGATATCTGATTCGGGATTGTCACCAATCATATAAACGTCACGAAGGGGAACCACATCTGCCCCTTTGAAGGCGCTCTCTCTTTGCTGGAGCAACCTCTTCTCGGCGAATTCATAGGTGGACTGGTGAGGCTTCCCGATCATCGTGCTTTGTAATTTGACGCCAGCAGCAGGGCCACCGGTAAGCGCATCCCAAACTCCATGGAGCGCTGCAGCGAATCCCCCTTGCCCAAGTCGCGGTAAGTGATACGCTGCGGCCCATAGCAAATCCGGGTTGGAAAAGTATAGTTTAGGCTGTCCGTCCTGTTGGTAACCGCGGTTGGGCAGATCCTCCCGATTGTTCTTCTCAGAGTAAGTGCCCAAAATGCCATGATGGGAAAGTAGTAGGTCGATGATCACTTGAATATCCAATGCCCAATCCCTTGGGTCATTGAAAACAAGTATCGCGTCAACTTTGAGGTTCCCCGGAGAGCCGCCTGTGACCGGCCTGGAAACGGGCTGTGCAAAATTTTTGTAGTGGTCACTGAAGCTCTTTGAAAACGGCCAGATCGAGGGATGCGCCATGAAGATATCCGCTGGAGTCACGACAGACTTGAACCCATATCTGGTTAACTGGTTAGAAGTGTCAGCTCATGATACGACGGCACTCATCATACTGTTTGGCCACATGACGGCATCTATCGTTTGGCCCGCCAACAACCAACACACATTTGTTCTCCAAGGGCTCTTGCTCCTTTTTGCCCTCCACCAGTTCGGCAAACGGTGTATGGCTCTGTATAATGCGATCGTGGTGTAGTTGAAGACCCAGTCGATCATTCAATTGGCCTATTCTCTCGGATTCGGACATTCCACCGCCATTTGTCAACAAGATAAACGGGATTCTCTGGCGTTCCAAGAGGGAGAGGGATTTGGCTGCCCCGGGAAGTGGTTGCGCGGCTCGAAGAAGAACGCCATCTATACTGGAGCTGAATCAGAACACCACCTAGGTACATATAAGTCTCATGCAATAGTTAAACTCACTCAAATGCAAAGGCAAAATCTGGAACTTTGGAGCTTTGTCCTGGGTTAGCTCTGAAGCCTCTCCTCAGAGCTGGTCCCGGAGACGCGTTTGCGCGAAATTGCGAGAAAACACGAATCTGCTGGCTAGACAGACGGGAAGCAAAAGCCATTGGGTATGTGACCTTCTGTAAGCACGCGAAGGGATGGGAGTGATGATCCAGCCGGGATGTTTTCAGCGCCCTGGAGCTCCAGGCACCGCCTGATGTCATGTCTGTTAGCGTGAGCCGCCAAGCATGGTTAAACAGGGGGCTCAAAAATGGGTGAATCATCTTCTGGGCAGATATCTATCTATCCAACAACATCAGTTTCCAGATTAATACAGTCGCCTTGCTTTGTTCTGATATACGTCTAGTCAGGGTATATAATCACAACGTCAAAACTGACCTGTGGGAGTTGTTGATTTCCCAGGTGCAAAAGTAGATCTACATACTCCGTAATGGTGCCGTCATATTTAACTGGTGAACTATCCAATGGAACTCAAACAATTTATGTTTCTTTGATATATTCAAATCAAATTCATAGAGACATTATTTTCCTTTCTTTGGCTACCCATTGAAGCAGGTTGGTGGAAGGATTGCACCCTGTTAACAATTGTTGGGTCTTTGAGGGCACCTCTTGTATGATCAAAATGCAATGCTTAAACCGCAAGAAGCAAGCCTGAATCAGGCCGTAGGCCCATATTTTTCTTTAGACCTCTCGAATCACGCCTTTTCATCAGCCCAAACATCGTATCCAAAAGTGTCCTTCATGTTCACAAAGCGGCAGTGTCTCCCCTTGGCCACTTCGTTAACAGCCTCGAACTGCTTCGGCGACAACTCGATTTCCTCAAAGTTGCTGTCGATGCGTGACGGAGTCGAACTCTTCGGCAGCACGACATAGCCTCGTTTCAAGCCCCATGCGATCAAGACTTGGGCAAGCGTATGGTTGCCCTCTTCCGCGATGGCGTTAAGCGTAGGATTCGTCCCGACTCTTTCGCCTGTGGAGGGGACCTGGTTCTGCGACCCAAGCGGCGAGTAGGCCTCTGGTAAGATGTTGTGCGAAAGGCAGAATTCGACCAACTCAGTGTTGGGGAGGAATGGGTGGATTTCGATCTGGTTGACGTGTGGTGGCACTTTGGCGAAGGAGAGGACTTGCTTGATGCCTGGGATGGTGAAGTTGGAGAGACCAATGGCTCGAGCCTTTTTGGAATTATAGATCTCTTCCATTGCGCGCCATGTTGGCTCGGGGTTCTTAGTCAGTTCCTCTTTGATCACATACTGTTTCCATTAAAGGGAGTAAAATCAGCAAATCCATCCAGCAAGAGGCTGTCAATGCATCCCCCATATGCGAGGGTGCGCAAAGTGAATTCTAGAATATCAAGAGCTATATTCGCACCTTGCCATCTGGCCCGAGCTTAGGCATGTTGTTCTCATCCTTCTCAGCAGCAATTGGCCAGTGAACCAAGAACAAATCCACATAATCCAGCTGCAAATTTTCGAGTGAGTTCTCCAACGACCACTTCACCTCATCAGGCTCGTGCAAATGGTTCCAGACTTTGGTGGTGATGAACAAATCGGATCTCTTGACACTCGGCTGCTCCTTCAAAAAGTCCGCGATAGCCTGGCCAATCTCATCTTCATTGCGGTAATACCAAGCACAGTCGAGATGCCTGTATCCCGTTCTGAGAGCATGCAGAACCGCATCGTAGGCTTGCCCCTTAGCCCCTTCACTCGAGAATGTGCCGAACCCCAGGCCGGGGATGGTAACGCCATTGCTGAGCTTGAAGTTGATATGCCGTGACATGCTGCTCTGCAGATTCAATTGGAAAGTCGAGAAGTGATGTAGGTAACCTCGGGACAATTGATAAAAGTGATAGCAATGCAAGGTGGCATGGCCGTTGGCATAACAGAAGCTCGGTTTGAATTTAACAGCAGATGGTGAGGCCGACCCACGGGAACCTCCGGGGAATCAGGGAAAGGCATATCCGCCCACGCTCCACAGCAGCGGGTTTCATATTAACCCTCAGGGCTGTCTATGGTTTTTCCCGAGATTATCCCACCGCAGAGCCCCAAACGGAACAAATGACGTTACTACCAGATTGTAAAGGCCACTCCGAAAACTCAATGCTCCATGTGAATCAGAGTTTTCACGGAATCAAGCCACAGCTTTGTCAAAGAGTAGAAGACCCGCCGCAGCGAGTTGGATGGATGAAGTCATAAGGGATGGTTTCCAGAAGAAATTCTCTACAAATTAGGGTTTAGGGTCTAACGAGCGATGATCGACACCCGTGCTGTGCTCTATCAAAGCTTGGGTCCATCAAACTCTCCGCCACGTTATTGAACACCACTTTATGAATGTGACTTGCTGCTTGTGAAATACAAACTCCGGCAATTGCCAGTGCAAAGTGAAGGCCACTTGTATCATTCTCAGGCGAGGATCCCAATGCTATCACCCCCTGTGGCCAGCGTGAGTGGTCCCATTGTTTATATAGGGACTCTGCCCGAAAGTGGTGGAGCCACCTCCGCCACCCAACGTCACATCAATATGCTGTAGACATTTTGAAGGAGTACTTCCGTGCCTGTGCCAGCCAGTGAACGGCATATGAGAATTGCGGTAAAATTAGCAAAAGTCTGCTTGTTTCAGCATTCACCAACCCGCCACGCTCCGAAGAAATGCCTCTCAATTCACTGGTTTGAGTTAGTAATAAGCCTTTTGGCTGGAGACAACGATGATATTTAGGGACTGGGAGTTAATAGGTGGAGCAGTTGTAAGATAAATTCACCTCCAGGTTTCGCCCGGGAACTTTCTCGCATTTCAAGTTCAGTATAAAGCTCCGAAGGTTCCTACCCCTTACCTGTTTTTCCACTCCAGCTATCTCTGCGCAGCCGCTTTCTCTCCTCTGTTCCTCTTTGCACTTCTTTTTCAAAGGCATTCTCATAGAATCGTGCTAGAGACCATATACTCGAGTCAATATGGCAAATATCGGCGATGCCAAGTTTCAAGGACAAGATGGGGGTCCAAGAAGAAGGGAGAGCAGTGTGCGTGGTGGTCAGATCAGCATCCCCGCCGACCCTCACTTTGAAGGGAATGCCATCGAAGTGCGAGCGTTGAGGAGCTCCATTAGCGACGCTGGCATGCTCATGCATAACCTAAGCCTGGCACCATCTATGAGGGATCGCAGAGCTTCGCGGAACTCCTTTGGCGTGTCGTTACCAATTCCCCGATCCCCGCGCGCCTCTAGACTCTCCTCGGTGCATCGAGATGCCCGCAGGAGCCAAGCGTGATATTTTGGCTTCCCAAATTCAGGATTTAGCAAAGGAAAAGGTTGAAGCCGCCAAAAACATGGCCTTTGCTTTCGACATTGACGGCGTCTTGGTCCATGGAAGTCGTCTTATACCCGAAGCGGCGCGAGTGATGGAGCTTCTCAATGGAGATAACGAGCTAGGAATCAAGATCCCATACATTTTGCTCACAAACGGTGGGGGCAAAACCGAATCAGCCCGAGTTGAAGAGCTTTCCCGCATATTAGGGTCGCCAATCTCGACAGATCAGTTTATCCAATCGCACACACCGATGCAAGCGTTGTCAGAGTACTATGAAACAGTTCTTGTGGCCGGCGGGGACGGATATAAGATTCGACAAGTCGCTGAAGACTACGGGTTCAAGAACGTAGTTCTCCCGAAAGATATCCTGGCATGGGATCCGACTATATCCCCATGGAGCAAACTCTCCGAGGAAGAACGAAAACAGGCCAAAATTCAAGATTTCGACAAAATGAATTTCGAGGCGATCATGGTGTTTGCTGATTCCCGGGATTATGCCACCGATATGCAAATCATCATGGACCTTCTCCTCAGCGAGAACGGGAGGTTGAAGACCAAGTCCAAAACGCCCCTCGAGAATCAGCTTCCCATCTATTTCTCACAAGGCGATTTACTCATGCCCACTGAGCATGGCGTTCCGCGGTTGACTCAGGGTCTGTTCCGCATCAGCATTGAAGCCATGTACAAGTCCTTGACTGGAGGCGACCTTGAGCGTGTCGTGTACGGCAAGCCCGAGCTGGCTACATATAAATTCGCAGACGAGGTTATGAAGCAATGGATGAAGGAGATTCACAACGAACACGTCTTGCCGAAGAACATTTATATGGTTGGCGACAACCCTCAATCAGACATTGTTGGCGGCAATATGTACGGATGGAACACATGTTTGGTTCGGACTGGCATATTTCAAGGCGGCGAGAACGACGAAGAGAATCCGGCAAGCTTCGGGGTATTTGCAAATGTGTTGGATGCGGTGCAGGCTGCGATTAAGAAGGAGCTTGGAAAGGAGTTCAAGTTCCGATGGAGTGACAAGATCAATCCTGTCCTCCATCCAGAGGGGGTTTCCGCGGTGGAATAGACGGTCTGCAATCTGTTTCTATAGCTGGTTTCTTCGGGTTCTGTTTCTCCCGGTTGTTTTGAAGGGACGATTGATATCTCACACAAAAAAGAACTGTAGTTCCCGGGTGCGAACTAATCCCAATTAGAGCTAGCTTACCTAATCTCTAACACGTGACTTTTTAGCGCCATCTGATTAGCTAACTAAATGACTAATCCATTTCCGTGATCTGATAATCTTATCTTATCAATCGCTGCTTCGTGAAATCATCTCATTCTGTCATCAACACTGCATCTCTTCTCATCAAGACAGGCCTGGGGAACAAAGTGCCCGTCCTTATTTCACGGAGAGTCCAGCGCTATGGCTGCGGATCCAGAGCCCACTCGCCACATCTATCTGCCTCCTGAAATTCTCTGCACTATTTTCTCTTACATTGAGGATCAGAGCCAAGCGAATGCGACCCTTCGGTCATGCTGCCTCGTATGCCGCCAGTGGTGTTCAGTCGCTACTCCTTTTCTATATCGGGAGCCTAGCATCAAATCTGGGAACTTTGCTGCTTTTGCCGCCGCTGTTATTTCTCCCATCAACCAACCCCATTCCCAGAGATCCGATCTAGGCCAGTACGTGCGGACACTTGACCTGTCCGAGCTCGTGCATCACAGCACAAATTCCATGACTGCAAAGCTGCTTCGGGCAGTAAGACAGGGACTCGAACTTTTTATTGCCCCGGGGCGCTCTATTTCGTGAGTTCCCGTTGTCGACGCACGGTTTTTATATAGCTTCTCTACTTAGAGACGCTTGTGTAGGGGCGAACGGAGGGCTGACCTTTCCTAGGTCTCTCAATCTTTTGTCCATCTCAAAATGCCAGAATCTCCAAATTCTAGACCTCTCACTCGTCCTCACTGAGCTCAGCTTTGGCGATGTTAAAAATGCCACCAAAAATCTCACCAGCCTTACTACGTTGCGACTACCTAAAAACACATCGCTCTCCCTCGCGGCGAACGATGTACCGTGGCCTCCAAACCTTACCGTTTTCCAGTTTGGCGGTGATGACCCAGCTGATATCCCCCGGTTCGCCGAGGAGTTCTCCTGGCCGGAAAAACTGACCAGTCTGACACTCCACAACTGTAAAAGCCTCACAATCGCCGCAGGCCAAGCGATCTTTGGTAACCCGCAACTGCAGCAGCGCCTCCGCCGCCTCAGGATAACCAGCGACAATAACTTTACACATTTCCGATTCATGGCCGACCTTGTCAATGTCATTCCGAAAGTGAAATGGCTCAGCCTCCCTGGCGGTGATGTCAATTCGACAATCATTCCCACCCTGGCAACCTTGAACACACAATTGGAGTTGGAAGTTCTTCGAATGGAGCCATCGTTAGTGAGCTGGGTTTTCCCGCTTAATGAGTTTAAAAGGGCGCTTGGGTCATCGCTTCCGAGGCTTCGGCATTTACGTGTTCATGTGGTACATGTCCCTTCCGTGTCGTACGATTCCGTTGTTGAGGAGATTACTCTGGCGTTGAGGAAGAACGCTGAAGGTGCGGGATATGACAAGGCAATGCTGGGTGAGGTTTTCAGTATTTATCCATAGTGCATCAGGTTAATACACTAGAACCATAGAGCACTATTCTGTTGAATAATCTACAAATACCAAACAAGGGGATAAAAAGTATTGTCTCTCAAAATCGTTTTCACCATGCTAGAAATTTTTCCGTTGAATGCAAGCAAGAGCACACACAGGACATTAGGAGGATAGCCTCCTTGGAGGTATAGGCCATTCATGGTAACATCCCGCCCAGTGGTGGTGTGTGAGAATAGGGATTATGCTGCAGCTTGCAGCTGCCCATTGGCATTAAAAAGAATAGATAGAGAGAAGGATACATTTGCTGAAATTTATGCAACAGACGCGACTACAAGTGAAGATACGCCTTCTTCCTCCGATCGGACCGTAACTTTCGTGGTGACACCAGTCTTTGCAGTATACGCTAAACGAACCAAAGCCGCTACCTTTCCTCCCGTTATAGAGTTCCCGTATAATTTCAATGTGTGAGTGCTGTTGTTTAGGACGACCTCGCAGCCCTCGAGTGGCTGGAGCGACAAAACAGCGATCAACTGCTCGGTAGCATCTGGATGACGAGGTCAGTAAACGAGCCAAAAGGGGGAGAAAATCGTGTTGTGAGATATCCAGCATACCTTGAATGCCTTTCATATTGGATAATTGCAATGTTTCACTGGATTCCTCGCCATTGGCAGCAAGGTCGTCCCATATACTGTCGAAGCTGGCGGAAAATGCAGGAATAATATAATCACTGCCCGTGAGATCAAGATCTTCAACTTGATATTCGTCTTCATAACCCGTTTCTTCGGGTTCACCAGTTGTCGGATCAATTTCTTTGCTCGTGAATCTCAAAATATTGGTAAATGAGGTAATTGGGTAAGAGCTTTCGTCAAGCTTCTTAAACGCAACATATACAACGCCAGGCTCATTCGTGGCTAGTTTCGGCGTCGGAACATCGAATTCGTATTCGAGCACTTCCTCCTCCTCTGAAGGGGTAGCGTCAACGGACACACCTTCTAAGACTGTATCTGGCAAGGTGTTCGTGATGTCATATTGCAAAACAACATGCTTCTTAAAGATGTGTTTAATGACGGTGACAACGTATTCAGTTTCTCTCTCTGTGAGTTCAACAGGCGGTGATGATTTGAGAAGAGGTCCATAAGCTTTAAGTTCAGGTATCTCCATGAGTTGTTCGGAGTATTTCTCTGTAGCGGCAGCAGCAGCTTTCGCGCTGTCCGCAGCACCATTTTGTTTAGCGCGGTCTGCACCGATCGAAGGAGCTTTGATAGTAGGGGTTGCGGAAGTCAGTTTCTTGGTTCTCTCTTCTGCTAATGCTTGCTCATGAGAGACAATTGGAACCTGGGACATATCGAAGGCTGCTGCAAAGGTCGCTTTATCAGTAGCCGTAACATACATTACGAGTTGATGCTCGAATGTTGCCAGGGCAAACATGTTTTCTGTCGATAAATCAGCAATTTGATGGCATCAGTAATTAGTGATAAGGGGCCCACCATTTTTGATGAAGCGCTCCGCCATCTCGTCCTGGTTCTCTATTAATCTCAAGTTAAGGGCAGCACGGTCACGGACTTCATCATCAACATCATCCAAGCACCGTCTTAGGAGGACAATGACGCTTCGTCTCAATTCCGGATCTTTTTGACCAACGCCAAACTTGGCAAGTGCTGTTACTGCCGCTGCACGGATGGTGGCATTTTCAAGGACGACTCTGTTGTAGATGTACCGAATGTATTTCGTAGGGTGTGATGTTTTTGGCCCTTCAATTCCCAGCAGATGTAGAATCCTCACCGCAAGCTTGGTGAATTCGCAGTCTTCGATAAACTCGCAAAGATGTGCCAAAGCTGAATCTCGTTAGTGGGTGAGGCATAAGAATATGTACTGGAAACGTACCATCCTCTTTACTTCCTGGGACAAATTTGATCAGATCAAACATGCTTTCCACCACACTTCTCTTGAACTCATAACCACCTTCATCTCGAAGAATCCCACTGAGGAAAGTAAGCATTCCGGCCTGTTTATTAGGGAATTTCAAGCAGAGAGTTCGAATTGCTTCGACGACCGTAATTTTGAACTCATCGGTGATATCGGCCATGAACCCAGAAATCTGTGCCATCAGGCGATCGACACTAGCTTCGTTCCCGGTTTTAAGGAGGGTCGTAATCGCGAATGTTGCAATTGATCTGTTAGGATTAGATATCAGGGCCTCAATGTCCTGATTGCATGTGTTTACTACATGGGGTTTAAATGAAGCGAAACTGTGGAGAATTCGAATTGCTGCAAATCTGCTTGTGGTTCGGGGGGACGATAAGAAGAGTTGCAGAATATGGACGGCTTGGGACGCCTCCGCGTCTGTCACGTCTTTCATGTCACAAATTGCCCTGGCAGCTTCGAAGTTGACCATTTCGTGTTTATGCTTTAACCAGCTCTCAAGCATTTGCATCATGGGCTTCCTCAAACTCTGATCATCTTCGGCCAATTTTGCCGCTAGTCTGACTAGTAAGAGGAGAGCAGCCGGGCTCTTGACGGCGCCAGCAGCTCCGTATTGCTGAACCATTTTCACCAAAGCCATTTTATCATGTGCCCGCATCTGATACAAAAGCCCGAGTGCATGGTATTGAGTCATATGGCTGGTCTGTGAGATTACCTGAGGATGCTGACTGGAGAATCCCAGGAAGCCCGATGACTGTTTTCCGCCTGCGGCTGCTTCTTGCGTCTCGCTCTGCCATCTTCTAACGACATCCTTTGCGATCGGGAGCAAATGATATGAGGATACGAGTGCTGCGGATGAGACTGACGGACTTTTATCGACAATTGCTGTTTTTATCAGTCGCTCGATGCCTTGAACGGTTGTGGCCTTCAAAAGTCAGCCTGCAAAAGCTCCCAAACAACAAGGGCGATCCACGAACGTCTATAATGCGGCACAGTGCACGGATAGCGTTGGCTCTGTAAAGAACATCACTCCCGACTGTGGTATCTTTCATAATTATCGATGTTGACATAATAACATCTTCGGCAGTATTGGCCAATTCCTTCAATATCAGATAGACCATTTGGCGGAGGGACGGGTCCTTATTTTGGAACAATTTCGAAATCCCGAAGAATAGCGTCGTCGCCTCATCCTTGGGAAACTTTTCGCCCGTAAACAGTAGCACCGCAAGTTTCGTCAAGAGTGTCCGGCATTTTCGGGGGGATATGGGGGACGAATTGAACAATCGCGCTGGTCCGCCGTCAGTCAGCCAAACACCTCGCCATTAGTCCTCGGGAAGAGACTTTACCATCTTGGAAAACTGTCGTCCTGTCCAGCTTCATCATCGTTTGATCCGCATCCTCGTCTCTCTTTACGTAACTCATCTTGACGGCGTAAAACGTATTCCAGTGTTATCTTGGGTTAAAGCCAACTTGACACCCACCGAGGTCAACGGCGTCAACGAAAAAGCAAGGTAATTCGACGAAAGTGCTGGTGCCAATGACCACTCCGCATTCAGTTATGCCCGTCAATTAATTGGCCCCAAAGGCAACGCAGCAGTAATGTTTAGGGGAGAGGGAGTGTCGGGCTCGTCTCGAGGTTGGAGATACACGTTGCCTCACTCGGTGTGTGTGGGCCACAAGCCACTTGTGGCTGAGCAAACAGTGCAAACACCGCCCGCATACAACTTAAGGCAGTGACCTCGTTGCTTCTGGCACCAGGCATACGAGTTATAAAAAGAATCACGATTCAATTCACCTTCTGCAAAGATGGATATGCCAGTTAATGTACCAATTGATGATCCCAATGCCGATACAGAGTGGTACTGCACCCTCTGCTCCGTGCATGTGCGCTTCCAGAGTACCCTTCTGACAGGCTCCCAGGAATGATATACTCCGCCAACATGGAATTATACCTGAAAAGCCGCCGTCCCCCACGCCGATTATAGAAGAAGCTATCTTAGAAGCTCGTAAAAGAGAACATGAGAACCGACTTGAGGATAAAGATTTAGACGAGCTGGCTGCGCTAGAAGATGAAGAAGATGATGAGTTTCTTGAAATCTATCGGTAGGTAGACGCGACCAGCCTTGCAGGCTTCGACTAACTGGTAGGCAGTAAAAAGCGTCTTGAAGAACTTTCAAGGTTGCAGAAAGCAAGTGTTCATAACCAAGTCTATCCCCTTCAGAAACCCGACTACTCTAGAGAAGTCACCGAGGCGTCGTCTAAATGCTTTGTCCTCGTGAACCTGACCTCGTCGATGGGCACAAACGTTGAATCCCGGGTTCTAAGTGATATATGGCGACAGCTTGCGGAAAAATATGGAGATATTAAATTCTGTGAGATTCGCGCAAATCTGTGCATTGAAGGTTATCCGGAGAAAAACACTCCCACCATTTTGGTCTATAAGGACGGGGATATTAAAAGGCAAATCGTTACTCTTAGAGAACTCAATGGACCACGGACGAGAGTCGAAGGTGAGTGCTCCGGGAAGTGTGCCACATTATCATTGAGTCAATGATTCTTCCTACGAAGCGGGGTTTCTCATCTCTGGTTAGAATGCTGACAATAGTTTTCAGATCTTGAGAAGGTCCTTGTCTCCTTAGGGGCACTTCAAGAAAATGATAGCCGCCTCAGAAAGAAATCTGATACTCCGCCGAAAAGTGATAGTGATGAGCAGTATCTTGATGATTGGGACTGAGTGTAGGATACCAAGGCGTATTGACTCGATATGCGACGACAGTTATGACCCATTAATAAGTTGGCATTTTATACTGGATAGTTTTGAAACTTACGGTGGCTGGTTAGCCATCAGCTTACTTTGACCCCATGGACAATGTTTGCTCTAATCCAATGTCACTGCTAGCCAAGTAACCAATTCGTATTGGTCCTGAAGGCTGAACAGGATGCATGTACGGGGCATACATGTTTACTTCATGATATCGTACAGCTTAGATACGTGATTCAACAATATAACTATTGCTAGGCACTTCCTCTCTCTCAGCCTTCAGGCTATAGACCCCCCAATCGTTAGGAGCAATGGACGTGTCCAAGGGGCACTGAATTAAGGGCGAAAACCACTAAACGTTACTAGAACTATGATCTCACCATCAGCAATTCAAGACCATCCAACCTGAAGAATATCTGCCATGATCTGTGTGCTCCATGACCTGGCTTCGTCGAGCTCAACTTGATCCCTGGGCTTCGGCATAAATTCTCGATAATTTGATATACATACGTCTGGGTGCCATGTTCCGCCGCTTCACAAACCGTCGATGGCTCTTTGCCATCTTCATGCTAGCATTGCTATCCCTTTTCACAGTTTATTTCCCACAACTAGACTCGATTAACATTAATACTAGCGAAGAAGCCGACCAGCCAGCCCATTCTAATGCAATCAATGGCGCTACAAGCCCTTCGAGCTCGCGCTCGCCTACACGACCCTTGCAATCCGCACATGCAATAAGCGGCTACACTCGCACAATCGTGGTCGCGAAGCTCAAAGCGGAGGATACCACTTGGGTCGACAGCCTAGTCAAATCCGACCGAAGCATCACCCCCGCAGTTTATGTTGTGGATGATCCTCAGGCGGACCTATTCGTTATCAAAAACAAGGGCCACGAGCTGATGCCGTACCTGACCTACATCATCGACAACTACGAGAATCTACCGAACGTCACCATCTTCATGCACGCGCACAATGCGACATGGCACAACAATGATTTTTTCAACTTGAGTTCCGAAACGATGGTGAGCCAACTGAAGATCGAGCACGTCATTCGCGAAGGGTACATGAATCTCCGGTGTAAACATGAACCGGGGTGTCCAAATCACATCCATCCCACTGTCGAGGATGAAGGAGATATCCGCGCGATTCCCGAGGCAGCTGTATTCGGCCGCGCATGGAAGGAATTGTTCCCCACTGAACCTGTCCCTGTGGCCCTTGCGCAACCTTGCTGCAGTCAGTTTGCGGTGAGCTCAGAGCGGATTCGTGCAATTCCTCTTCCACAGTACGTTTTTTGGCGTGACTGGGTGCTCCGTACCACTTTACCAGACCGGTTAACAGGGCGGGTATGGGAGTACCTATGGCAGTATATATTCACTGGCAAAGCAGTTGTTTGTCCTGATGAACGCATCTGCGCTTGTCAAGGCTACGGAATATGCTCGCGCGAGAACGTGTGATATTTATTGCTTCTCAAGGTTCGGAATAGGACTTTCGACAAAAGCGAATGACGACAGACCTGGGAAATTCTAATTTTTCCAAAAGACTGTGCTGGGTTCCGATTGAAATATGGCGACGGAAATCAGTGACCGAATTTTGTAGGGGGGTATTTTACTTCCTGCGCAAAGCCAGCCCAATATTTCAGGTCAACTCCGGCACTACAACTATGAAAAGGGCTTTCCTGAGGTGACATGGTCCTATTCCCAATAGCAAACAAGCTCTAATTCCCAGAGAGCATGGGAAGGGCTTGAGGACTTCACTTGCTTCGTCATATATCTAATCTAAATGCAGCGAAGACCGGGATAGCTACACCCTCTTCCTCACCCATTCCTCACCCTCCTCACCTCAGAGCCTCATTGCTACCAATCTACCTCCAAAGGGGTCGAACCTAAGGTCCAGCCTTATGCTTGTCCAAAGGTACTAAGGGTAGTTGGGATATCCTGGGGTTCTCTAAAACCTGATCAGGGCAGGGACTACTATGGCGGAAAGAGCAATGTTTCGGGTAAAAATCTGTAATATGTTTTGGATGAGCATATGATAAATTCTTATACACCTTTGCATCAGTCCAGCCTTGCACTCTACCTCTCATCAATGATGTGGTTAAGTCTAATAGGCACAGAACAGATGAGACGAATCTTGCTTAATAGAGTAACTATCAACTACAACATGGATATCCGCGCCAAGCTTGAGCCCAACCTCCTCTTCCCCTTCCCAAAAAAAGAAAAGGCCACTATTCGAGCAATGTATCCGTCTCCTTCAATTAAGCCGAATGGGCTCGTGAACAACACTATAAGTCTCGGGAGTAAACTCAAGCCCAGTGGCACCATTGTAGATCCAGAACCGCTCATGGCCCGTCCCAAGATGATATACTCGGAAGACGAGATAAACTTCGTTTGGCGATTGCTCGGATAGTGGGGGCGTGGCATGTATCTTCAAGTTGGAATGTCAGCGCCATCTCATGAAGAACGTGCATCCAGAAGGAAAGGATGACGGAAAAGTAAACAAAAAGGACATACCCTTCGGAACTGGCTTTTGCTCATATAAAAGGGAGTATTGAAAGTCGACACTGTTGATTTTACTTCGATAAGATACCTCGGCCGAGCAGAACCCCAAGAAGGTGCTGCCAGGTCTTGGGAAACCAGCAGGCGGGTCAAAGCCCCCTCTGAATCATTGTAAACAAAATCCGCGGTCTCCACACCGTTCCACGGTTCCAGGTCATGATAGTCGGGGTGAGAACGGACTTCCTTGCGAATGCTGCTCCGCCAGTTCTGTCGACCGAAGCCGGGTAGATTTAGACGAGAGAGAAGTTCAAAGACCTAAATCAAGATCAGCCTGGCTCAGCCATAAAAGCACCAACCATTGGGCCGTCACGGCTGCAATCTGCTTACAAACAGTTCCCCTGCTGCGCCTATTCGAGTGTCATGATCCAGCTGGTTTAGTCGACGATTCCCGAAGGGGGTGGCCGAAAGCGCCGGTGAGATAGGTGCTCTAGAAGTAAATGCTTCATCTAATGTGCCTATTTCAAAGTTAGCCTGGCGTGCTGCCGTGGAGACCTGAATGAGCAGGTTAGTGTAGGCGGATCTATCTTGGAGTTCCTCAGGAACAGGGCTCTCGTTGTTCCCAACTCTGTTTGGATGGGGGAACAACCGGGATGAACCCGTATGGCGGCGAGCATTGTCTTGTGGTAATGATGCCAGAGACTGCCTGTATTCATGTTCCACGGTAGGAGGCTCCAGGTCACTACCGCCTTCAGAGCCGTAGCTTTCTGGTGTCGTCGCAAGGGCCTCAGGCCGTGGGCCGGCATGACCTGAGGAGAGATTCCTCGTAACTACATCTGAAGCTGCTTCATCTTCCGCCAGGCTATCAACATCTCCATCATGAGATAGATCCATATCCACCTGAATAATCCCATCCTCCTCGAGAATATCGTCAAGAATGTCCATTTCGCTCCGGATAATGTTCTGAAAAACTCCCCTGGCGGCGGGATCAGCTATACCCAGATGGTTCATTAATTCTTTGGGTAATTGATTTGCATAGCAGCGGCGTCTATCTTTCTGATCTCGGGGGACATAGATCTTCAGGACGTCACCTTCGTCCTCAAGGTGCAGCAGGCCACGAGCGCTTTCCGCTGTGATTGCTAATCCGCCCAGAGTTAGGTTTAAGGTCTTTGAGAACCCTTGGCTTTCATAGATCTGTACCCCTTGAAGCATTCGGCAAACTGCTTCTTTTCTGTTGAGAGTTTTGGTGCTGTTGAAATGTACCGCACATCTAGTCGACTTTAGTATTAACTACTCATTGAGACTAAACAACAGGAGGGCTCTCACCGAAAAAGGGCTTTTGCTTTCATTCGAATCTCATGCGTCAGGATAGCTGTAGGATTTACAGCTGGCTGCAGCACAGTTGTGCTCTCTTTAACTGCTGCAGACATATAGCGGTCTGCGAAGCCGAGGGCCAGCAAGAATCCGCGAAACTGGCGAACGTCTTCCAGAGATAAGTCGAGAACCGGCACCTTTCCATCAAACGCAGAACCATACTCAATACGATCGACAATAAAGAACTCTGCCGCAGGGTTTTCATATACGGTTTTATCCCTGCTTAACTTCACAGGCAGGAACTTGACATGTCTTAGGCCGTCAACATCCCTTGACGTGGGGCCAAGCTCAGTAATGCTTAGTATAGCACTTTGTATATCTTGGCGATTTGGAGAACCGCCTGTTGAAACAGTCTTCAGCTGTTCAATATAAGTTGCGATAGTCGGAGCCTGCACCAACAATCTGCTCACAAATAGTTCCTCCAATTCCCCGTAGTCGCTGGCAATACCAAACTGATTGCCAACACGCGGGGCAACGGTCCAGAGGCAGGAGCTAGGCTTGCACCAAAGGTTTTGCGAGCGTATATACACCAAGCTGCAGGCTTTAAAAGCCGACCTGGTGGGGATGTAAGTATCCAAGATGTTCGTGTGATGGGAAAGGGGATTCGTCAGTGGGAACACATACCGGACTTGCTCCCAGTTATTTGGTCTTGCAACTTCCAATAACGACCGATAGACAATCAAAAGATTATCGAAACTTATACTTCTGTTGCGCATCCATGCTAGCTCTTTGAGATAGACGGCTCGACCTGCATTGGGAATCTTGAGGATTCCAGTGAGCAACTTCTTGATTTTGCCGCTCTCCCTATAGGTATCGTAAAATCCGAGAGCGGACCTGACGCGTAGAAAGCTAGGGCCACTCCAAACGCAATCCTCAGGTGGGCTTAAACACTCATCATGGGACTCGCTGCTGGGAACATAGACAGCCTCCAATCCCTTGAAAACATCTCTATCATATATTGTAAGCCGATATGTCTATTATCCTAGTCAGGAAGTACTAACCTTATGGCGTCGAAATCATCTTCCCCCCTGCACCAGTCAAAGATCGACTCATAAATCTCAAAGAGGCTGCTCTTTCTTTGCATAGTGAAGCCGCCCTGACGAATCTTCTCAATTACACATCGCAGCGCATCGAGGAAGAATGGTAGATTCGCTTCCCTTCCGACTCCAAATTCTTCTAAGAACCGCCATCCATCAATGTCTTCACTGGGCCACTCAGATGGGAGACGAACAAAGGGCATGTCATCCTTAATATCCAGATCTGCGCATTTATTTTCTAGCTCCGTAAGGGGGAGATATGTCAACCGCAGGGGCTTTGACTGTGCGTTTCGACAGGGAATTTCAGCGTTACTTAGCTGACAAATAACAACTGAAGACTTGTCCGATTCATTGTAGCGGAGCCAGTAAGTCCTCAACACTCCAAGCAACTTGTCCGGGTGCTCCCTCACAATGGACTCGAACACCTCTGACAGGCAATCCATCGTAGACCGCGCTCTGAGCCTGGGCACCCAGCGAACACCAGCCGCAGATACCAGCCACTCCTCCCATGAGCGTCCATTGTTTGGGATATCTGACAACCCAGCATTAAGGTATGAGCTGTGAAGGAAGTGTATGACTGGTCCTGTAGTAGACTGAAATGCACGAGATAGCTGCTTCATCCCGTAAGCATTGTCGTCCTCGAAATATAGGTCGTCAAAGGTAATATGCGGTGCAATCTGGCTACGGTATATAGGAAGAAAATTTTGATCCATGAGGAATACTCTATCATTCAAAGTATCATCCGGGGAAAGAGTCTTATACAGATAACGAAGGTGCACGATGGACTGATCCAGGCCTACACAGAAGAGGATATTGTATTTGGCAGTTATCAGGCGAATGACCCTCTGGGGACTGCAATGTGTGACCCCTAGACGTTTAAATAGCATTCGCCGTTCAAAATTTGTGAGTGATGATGGATCGACAAGTCGTAGCGGCAGGTCTCTGGGGATTGGGATGCCACAACTATCAGTTGGAAAGAATATATCAGCGGATGCTGTAGACCCTAACCTGCCGCTAGCCAGCGGAATCAGATCCAGTCTTTTGATCCTGGGAGCCACACTTGGATTGCCCAGTCCATTGAGAAAAAGCTTTGAGAATCGGGTATGCCAGCTGTCATCTTGATCCAATATTTTTCGTGTTGCTGGGCCTACATATGGTTGAACGAGGCGAAAGATTTCAGGTACCCAGTCTATAGCCCTAATCCCCATGGAAGCAATATCCCCAAAATTACTTGACTTCTGGTATCCTCGAGAGAGGTAGATCTCTGGTTCCATGTCCTCAAAGAGAGGTTGGGAGTGTTGATCAAGGCAGTCCAGTGGTACCTGTCTAAGGTGCTCGGCGCAGTCCAATCTCTCCTTCCACGTGAGAAAAACTCGGGCGGTTTTCATGCGGTCAATAATCTTATCCCGCAGCTGAGCCCAAAAAGGATCAGACACATTTTGTGGGATGTAATCCAACCATAGATATCGAAGGGACGGATGATCGCAGAATTGAATAACGGCATCTCGAAACGTATCAGCCACGCCATCAAGAATGGCGTCGTTCCATGGCGAATGATGTATGTCCTCGCGGCTCGCTTGGGTGATGAAGTCTGACTGTACTATAAACTTCTCTCGAGTAAGTAGAGGTACTTGAAGATTGGAACAGACTCAATCCTACCTTGTATCCAACCTTTCGCATGGGCAGGAAAGAAAAGACATACTGGTCCTCACAGACAGGTTTGAGTTCTGCTGAATGATCGCTGACTGGGAATGCAAGAACAACTTCTGCTCGATGGCGGCCTTTTCGAGCTGGATCCCTGGGTAAAGGCGACAAAATTCTCTTCACCACTCTGTAGAAGGTCTGTCGGGATGAGTTATTGGTAGTTCGGGTCAATGTCATCGAGGAACTAGAAGTATCATAGGCACACGAGTACGACACTTCCCACGGGTCTTCATTCAGGGGCTGAATGGAGAGACTAATGATTTTAAGCTTTGACAAAAACAAGGTCAGCGTTTCAGGAATATCTTGAATCTCCTTCATGCAGGTATTGAACTTTGACGGATCCGAGAGGATCAACGTTATTCGTGTGCGCACATCCACAGGAAGGTCCATGGGCTCTTCTGATATTGGCGTGACCATTCCAAGCCCGTCTTCGCCACGGTTGTGTTCGAAATAGAAGGAGAATGGCCCGGATTGAATATGGACCTTGGACGCGACTTTAAAGACGGATTTGAAGCCAATGCCCTTTTCACCAATGTAGCCTTGGATGTTGGTCTTTGTGCTTTCGCCAGTGCTGCAAATTGCGCGAACATCTTGTACAGAAAAGCCGTCCTCGTTCGAATCAATGATGACCCGGTCATGGCACACGGTGAATTTGATAAATGGGAGCTCGTTGCATGCTTGGATGACTCTATATGAGGCATCTTCAGCGTTTTGTATCAGCTCAAAGACGAATCGTGCGTCTGTGGAGTAGAGGTTCGAGGCAAGTCTGCAAGATATCAGCATCTACCCTAGGGACAAAGTAGGAAGAGGAAGGTCATCTATACATTTTAATTGCGGCTCCTAATTTTCGCTGTAAGTTGTTCAATACGCGTAAAACACTCTGCGGTGTCTGCTCTCGATCGGACTGGGTGATGCCGCCATTTTGCTCCCTGATATTGTCGATAATTGCACGGGCCTCTTCCTTTGAAAGTTGAGCCATCTTGACTCTTCATTATCAAGTATCAGGCGGCCACAAAAGGTGAAAAAGACAATAATGGAAAAGGCGACAATGAGCAGCGGGATAGGGCATTTATCTGAACACTTCCACTCCAACCCCAAACGAGGCATTCCATAACAGCGGACCGCTTAGTTACACCAACTCCAGGGGAGGGAGGGCACGGCGGTCCCAACAACGTAGGTCACACGCGAGGCTGAGCTGGGGTACCTAACAAGTTACAAGATCCTCCAGGTGCTGTCCCTTTCGCCTGCCGCATCCCCTCCTATTCCCATCCCATCTCTTTGGGGAGTTCGCCGTCCGCCCAGTTCCCAGATTATCTGCTATGGATGGTTGTTGCTTTCTTCTCCTCGTTTTCTGGCAGCATTCTCGTTTCTGGATTGTAGCAGGGGTTGCAAGTGGAGTGCGTCGGAGCGGCACGGGTGATCTGCGTGCTAAGCCTCTGATTGATGACTGGAAACCGTACCTAGTATGGAGGTACCCCCAACTTATGGACTAATCTCACTATTAAGGAGGCAATGTATAGAAGAGAAATTGTTTGGCAGCATCTGTACGGTAATTGAAGAACTCAGGTAGATGAGCAGAATATAGGAGGTTGTTTGGATGTAGGTAAGACCAGATGGCAGCATGCCCATTTTCTTCGACCAATGGTATGGACGAGAAAATAAATGACTGGTCATTGGTCACTTAAAGACCATGCGCTCTAGACGCCGTAACAGGCCGTCTAGTTCCGCGACTCCCTGGCTGGTGATCACGCCGGCACGCTCTCGCTTGTCGGCGACAACGTAGAGGCGGAGTTCATCAGCGTTGCCGGAGGGGCGAAAATGAGCAACATCGCCGTTGGCAAAGTTGATTCGCACTCCGTCAGTGTAACCTATGCGGGTGATCGGCGCAAAGCCGGATTCGGGGGAGAACACGGTCTGGAGCTCTCGGCGAATTTGGTCAAGTTGCTGAGCTTGAGGCTTGGTGGCTTCGAGTGTCGTGTGATTGGAATCGCGAACAATGATGTGATTGGGGCCATATTAGACCTCTTGCATGACGGCCTGGAGGGGTGAAAGTCGCTGTATGATTTTCATGCTCATTTGACTAGGGAAATTCCGAATCAGTGCGGCGCAGCTGAACCGGGGAGGCAGCGAGGCAAAGAGTTCTGGCAGCGTGATCTGGTGGTTCTGCGCCGCGAACAGAGCGCAGAGCAGAGGCAATACCGCGTCGCGCGTTGGAAGCGGGGTGAGCACCTTACCGTTGCGTTCGATGCTGGAGCCGGTGAGGAAGCCTCCGTTGGCTTCCCATCCGCAAACGCGATGACGCATCAATCACATAGGGGCTCCCGATTTTCGTCTTTGGTTCAGTGACATGGGCTAAAGGTCCACGATCGATGGCATCGTTGGTGCTGATAGGGATGATACGGGCGCCGAGAGGCAACAGTCCACAACATCAATTTTTTTTTTCTTTTTTTGTTCACTGCTTTCCTCACCACATTCTTAGTGTCAGAATATAAGAGGGGTTGCAGCAATTCAATTCTTCATAATCCATACACACAATTTGATTTGATTTCTTCATACTCCATACATGCAATTTATCTAGGCAAATATGCCTCCATTGGTTATTGATATTGTTCACAAATTTATATGTGGAAAAGACATTTGAGCACTTGGAGATGGGGGTGGGTGGTAGTGATGACTCAGCAACATGGAATGTGGGACAAAAATTCTTAGCAGGCTTGGCATACCAGGTACCATCACATGACTATATTATGTATGTGATTAGTCATGTGACTAGGTACCGGGTACACCAAGCCCTCTGAGAACTTTTGTTCCACCCCCATATGTATGAAGTTTTTTGCGGAAAGAGGATTTCATTCATATGTAGCTTATACAGGTAGAGATCTGAGTGTGAGCAGGCATGCACCTCTATGTGGTGTTGGGGGTAGCTGTTCTGTACATACTCCATATAGAATCTACTACTACTAAATTGCAGAATCGGTGGCAGAATATATAAATAGAAAAAAAGAAAAAAAAAATTGATGTTGCGGACTGTCGCCTCTCGGCGCCCGTAGGACGACGACGGCGTCGGCATGCAAAAATTCAGCAACAATCATGCCCAAACGGTCGCCGCTGAAGAAGCGAAGCTCTCCTTCAGAGGCCACGAGCAGCGGATGATCGCTGTCGCTACACAAATTTTGGATAAGGTCAAGTTGGGCCTGGTCGATGGCTTCGGTATCGATCGGCACGAAGCTTTCGCTGCGGCCGATGGGTGTTACTTCAGCGCCAAACTTTTGGAGAATCTCCACGAGAAGATCACGGCCGACGGCGGAGTGCTGGTAGACAAAGAGCTTCACGCCTTAAAGCGTCTCGCCCTCGAAGAAATCAAGGTAGCGCAGGATGTAGACGGTTTTTGCTGCGTCTGAAGCGGGCAGAAGGCCTGCTAGCTTGCTACGGAACATCCCTTGGCCATCGAAAAGGGACTCGGCATAAGGCTACATGAGGAGTTTCTCCCGAGTGAGTTTGACAACATCGTTGATGGGCTCTTCGTCCTTCTTTAAAAGCTCTTCGAGGTGTTGAACTTGTAGCCGTTGCGGTCGAAAGGGAGGTGACTGCCAGTTCTGCCCTTGGCCTTCTGAGGGCGGGAGGGATTGTAGGTAATGAATCTCAGCGAGGACGTTTGTGTAGATTTCCAGCTGGGTCAAGTGGACGACTTTGCCGCGGCGACCGCTGGTACCGAATTTCAGTGGTTGAGGTTTGTGTGTAGGTGAGGTGGGCGCGAAGGGCCTCTGTGGGTGAAGCGACGGGCATTCTTCCGTTCTACAACAAGCTGGGAGCGGGGATATGTGATGAGGAAAGGGTTGTAGAAGACGAGTTTTCAAATTGACTGACGAGACGGCTGGAGGTCACCTGAGTAGTTAGTTACCTCCTGTTGAGTTGCTGAGTGAGAAGGTTGATATAGAGTGAACTGAGAAATCAGGAGGCCCAGTAGTTATAGCGGTGCAGTTGCCCAAACCATGTCAGTCCTCTGTATAGATGATTCTCATCTTGGCCTGAGACCGTAATTTGGGTAGGTCTGAAATTGAAGCTTTCAAAGGCAAGATAAGTTTTGTCTATAAAGTAGCGAGTTCCTGCGCTGGGACTGACTGTCTTCCTCAGCAGAATTGCATGCCATATACAACGAGACCAGTTTGGGATTTTATTGAGCACCTTCGTGTCTCCCGCAAATCCAATCCCTAAACGTCTGTTCTCCCCATACATGTGAGAACGTTAAGGCCTTAGCGGTATCATAGTTATAGGAGTGACAATGCAGACTTCATTGGAGAAAAAATTTCTTGCCTCATCAAAAAACTTGTAATGTGATTTCATAGGAATGCTTCCATTGCTTTTCCATGCATGTCCTGGTGAGGGCAATTTCAACTAGCTTGCTCCCACTTGGGTGTCAGTCTGCCTCTCACATAACTATTAAGAGGTAGTTATTTGGTCTATGGAGTAACAAAAGGCCGTCTCCAATTACCAGCAGCTTTTGGCGGTTTCGCTGCAGCTAGGCAATATCTACAAACAGCTTGATATCATGAGTCTGTTTGGAATGCTTTGGGCAAGAAAAATGAACGGTCTGTTCTCTTATATGTGCTTAGTCCGGTTTACGATAGTTGAATCACCCAAGAGCCATTTTGATGTGAAATCGATACCACATAGGCCAGGTTCAGAATCTCCTCGCGGCCTTTTTTCTTCTTTCGTACGGAGCAGGAGGATTAGAGCTGGCAAAAGAACTCGAGGATGGCCCTCAACGAACATTCGCTGACATTTTGATACCCAACATGAAGGCGGGTAATCCATACAACACTCGGCGAATATGTTCAATTTTGCTCACAATTGGTATATATAGTATATCGGCTTCCTAAACACCACTGCCGGAACAGTTCCCCCTTTTGCAGAACGATATCCACCACCGGAATAGCGCCAAGGCTCGAACAAAACGATGTATCCTGCGACAGTACTCCATAAGAGAGGAGAGAAAATAAAAAGTTGAAAGCAAGAGCAAGAAAGCGAGTTTCGCAACTCACAATAAGCGGATTCAGGTTGAACCCAAAGGGAGAAAGATAAACAAAGATAAATGATCCAAAAGCCGGTCAATCAATCCGGTAACCAGAATAAAAGAACCACCCAGACACAAAAAGGGATTTCTTGTCAAGGAATCCCACTGCACCAGTACGAAACCCTCCAAAGGATTCAAATCAACTCATCTCTCCCTGCAGCGATGCTTTCCTCGATTGCCGTTTTGACCCTTGATTCCTCAAGCACGGGTCCCGTCCCGTCGCATATAGCATGGCCTTTCAACCTATTGTAAACGTCCTGGACATCAATCTTGGCATCCTCATCCGCTAGCCGGTTCACAATCATATCCCAGGTAGCCGCTGCATCAAGGAGTTTCTCGCCTGTCGTTTCATGGACTTTGATCCGGTGCACAGGTTTGGGTTTGCTTTCACCATCACACAAACTGTAGTCGGTTGGGGAATATTTCATTGGTCCAGTAGTGATGGGCTCAGTGTCATGATGGCTATCAGTTCCGGCGCAACGGTTTGCGGTCGATGTCGCACGAAGAATCTCGTTCTCCGTTGCTACCTTTGCAATTTCGCGCTTCAGGGTTTCGTTATCTTCCATAAGGGTGTTTACATTCTGTTTGTATTCGCTGAGCTCCTGCTCGAGGTCTCGTACCCGTCGTTCTTTGCGTTCGCGGAACGCTCGTTGTCTAGAACAAAATCCAAAAGTCAACCGTCTGCTCTTCTCCACTATCATCGTCTACTTAATCTTTTTAGGAAAACATACGCAGCTCTATTCTGCGCCTTGCGACGACTCTGTGCTGGTGTCAAATTGTCCTTCTCCTCACTGCTGCTCCGCTGGTTCTGTGCTGCCTCATCGCTATTTTCCGTGGCCGTAGAAGGATGTACATTGGACGAATCCGTCAGCCTATTATCGCTTGAATCATGGTTCGAGGTATCTAGGACGTCGGCTGCGAGCGGCTCCGGAGGGAGGACATCAGCGGCGTGATGATTGGGAACAGCGGGCTCAAAAGCGTATGGGTTGAAAGGCTGAAAGTGGTCCTGCTATGATTTTCGAAGAAAACGTTAGCAACTGCTTTTGACAAAGTTGCTGCCTCGCGAGTTGACGTCAAAATGGGCAGGCAGGCCGGCCGCCCTCGCTACCTAAGGGAGCATACCACAGGCGGGACATCCTGAAACTGATCTGCATTCGGATTGGGCTGAGGCTGCTGGGGATTTTCGAGCCCATAGAATTGATAAACTGGGTGAGGTTGAGCAGAGGAATAATACCCGTAATCCATGCTTTCAGTCGTCGAACCCGGGATAGTGCTGAATGAATGGTCGGTTGCCGGTTTTGCGGGGAAACGAGCTGGTTTGATCGAGGAAGAAAAGATCAAGTGGCAAAAGAGTGGTGTTTGACAGAGGTGTTGCCGGGAAGTCGACACGAAACGGGGTCAGAGAAGAGCTCAAGCCTCTCCGGCGAACCTGCTGTTCACCTGGGCTGATTAAAAGGCTGGGCTCAACGAGGGGGCGAGGGTCCGTTCAAGGAAAGGCGTGAAAATCGCGAGACAGGGGTTGCATAGACTTTTCCTGCTCTTTTCCAGTTAAAGGACCGCAACCATTTCTGCAGCAGAACGTACACAATTTTGCACGCTCGAGTCACGACATAGTAGTCCCATAGAGTAGGGCGTTGGCCAAAGTGGAGAGAGCCCGCAGTTCGTCGAGCGCTGGTCTCCCGGCGCCAGTTCAGTTCCACTCCAGCAAGCTGCCGGTTGATGGCTGTTTTAGCGTAGTTAGCTCACTCTGCAGGCTTCCTCAGGCATGCAGGGTCTGAGCTGCCCAAGTCTACTTATATACCCCTTGAGCCTGGCACACGGGAGAAGCTCCCTTAGATGTATACCGTGCGTGGAAAATAAACTAATATACTGAATCACTGATACGAAGCATCGAAGTAATAAATGCAAATAACTGATTCATTAGGGGATAAGAGCTAACTGGTACTTGTAATCATAAGCAGTAGGAAATAGTCAATGTTTTTGGTTAGGCCGCCATGTCGTCCCCAGGTGCATTTACTTCCCCACACATGCACTCCTCGCCAACAAAATCCTCATTCGCTTGACAGGCCAAGATTTTTATTGATAAAGATGTTGAAAATATCAAAACGCAACATGTTGGGGGAAAAGCAGGACAAGAAACGGTGCAAGGAAAATTATCAACCACCCCGGAAGCGGCCCTAGCCATATCCATCGCCACGCACCTCAGAACACGCACCGGACTTCACGTATGCCAATGGCCTTTTGCTTGTGACGCATGCTGATAACATAGGTTGTCAACCCCTTTGAGAGGGTCATTGTCAGTGCAAAATTCAAAAATTCAGCTCTCCATAAAGGATAGCACCTCACCCCCGGATAGATTTCCTTGCAGACAAATCGTAAAGCAACAGAGCAGTAAACAGAACACAGAACCAGAGGGGAAAAATGGGGAAAATAACGAAAGGGGGAAAGAACATCAATTTGGTGGGTGATATTGAAGGCAAATGATAGACGGATCAAGATCGCCACAAGTTTGCAGATAGGGCGAGGTTGCATGTGAATTGCGCATCCACAATCCATCAACATTATACCATTGTAACAAGGCAGCTCCCAGACAAGTGTAGCCCAAAACTTGCTCCAAGGTAACCGCAAAGTTAGCATACGTGTTCTGAAACCTGTACCAATTATCCCATAAATAGCATCATGGCGCATTTCGAATATCGGAAATCTCTGGCGACTGGGAACAAAATCAGTTGTCGGCGCGGTTTATCGAAGGTGTCTAAACCGGGTCCAAACGGGAAGCGTTGATGAAAGGAAAGAATCCGTAATCGAAATGGCCATGAGCGAAATAAAATCGAATGGAGGGCTAGGCCATAATAAATGGAGAAGAGATTTCAGAACAAGTTGAGCCTCAGATGTCCTATGAAAAGAACACGTTGGCATTGCCGCATTCAATTTGCAAAAGGCTCCCTGATTTCGATATGACAAGGAGCGGCATTTTTGAATGAGCGAAAAAGAAAGGCAACCAGCTCAAAAAAGTATGGCATCGTCATCATATCGAAATCAGTACCAATCACCAGTCATATCATTTTGTCTCAAGTATTGAACACCAGAACCAGTGCGGGTAGGGCCTGTATTAGCACCTCTTGAAGCAGAACGAAGCCTAACGCCGAAGACTAAATTAGTCAGACTCTTGAATTGAAACCTTCCCTAGCCAGTATCATAGAACACCAAATGCACAGGAGAAGAGTTCCTTACTCGGAACCATAGATTGCTGATACTCACATCCTGTCACTTCCCAGTGCGCGGTCGTGGGATTCCCCCGCTGTGCGGTCTAGCAATTTGCGTCGAGGAAGAGGCATAGCAACCGGCTTGCCCTGTCCGGGAATACCTCCAGGGGCTGCGCTAGCGCCAAGATGACGGCGAGGTTTATCCTCGTCATCCTGGGCATTATTACCCGTATTTCCGCTTGCCTGGGCGATCGCTTGGGCATTCTTCTGGTATTTGTAGACCGTCCAATCAAAAACATAATCGTACTGGAAAGATTCGCGAACAAAGAGATCGCGGAATATCTTGCGGAGGTAGGAGTAATCGGGTTTGTCGTCAAAGCGAAGAGAACGGCTGTAGTTCAGGTACACAGCGAATTCGTTGGGGAAACCACGGCAAAGTACCTCGGTTGGAGTGGTCATTTTCTTCTCCATAATACGGTCGTATTTCTGCTTCTTGGTGGCAGCCTTGAGGCCCTGCCATGGAAGCGATCCACGACAGAAATAAAGCATAACGTAACCGAGAGATTCTATGTCATCACGTCTGGACTGTTCCACGCCCAAATGGGTGTTGATGCTGGCATATCGAGCAGTGCCAGTCAAATTCTTATTCTCACGGTAAGGAATATGAAAATGAGTCTTCGGGTCACGATACTTTTTCGCAAGGCCGAAGTCGATCACGTTGACTTGGTTTCCGCGCTTTCCGATACCCATGAGGAAGTTGTCAGGTTTAATATCACGGTGAATAAACGACTTGGCGTGAATATACTCGATACGGGAAATAAGCTGATCGGCTAGCAGGAGGACAGTCTTCAGCGAGAATTTGCGGTTGCAGAAATTGAACAAATCTTCCAAGCTGGGGCCCAGGAGGTCGATGACCATGGCATTATAGTCACATTCAGTGCCGTACCAACGGACGAACGGGATACCAACACCACCAGCAAGGGACTTGTAAACGCGAGCTTCATATTCAAGCTGAGGATGCTTGGCCTTGACACTCTCGAGTTTAATGGCGATTTCTTCACCTGAGATAATATTGGTGCCTGATAGCCATCAGTACAGTCCTGAGTATCCGAACAGATTCCACATACCAAGGTAGATGTCGCCGAAACTACCGCTACCGATTTTTCGACCGATACGGTACTTGTTTCCGACACGAAGATCCTAGCATGCGTTGTCAGTATGGTCATAGAAGAGGGTCACATCCACGACTATTCCTCAAGAGATTTTTCCGGGAAACTGACCATAGTCGTCATTTTGACAATAGCTTATCGATACCACGATGTTGACTCTGCTGGGATGTTAAAAATCCGGGGATATTGCGAATAGGGCGAGGATAGATGTAGCTGCTGACCTAAATCGAAATTTAGATAGAGTTAGAGAAAAGACAAGGTTAAGAAATAGTTCGAGAGAAGCAAAATTGATGATCTTCAAATCACCAGACATGAGAAAGTGAATGACGAACAATGATTGATCACACACCAAAGAAAGGGCAAAAGCCCAGTGACTGACTGACCTTGTAGCAAAATGAGCAAAAAGCGTACTGAAATGCTAGACCTGATTGTGGTGTCGGTCTGGGCAGCGAGAATAGCGATGTCAACCGAGCTGAGGGAGATCTTGCTGTCGACAACGCAGGCAAACCAAAATGCTCAAAACAACAGGAAGCAAAATGAGATGCTGATAACGGGAAATCACAAGGGAAAAACCCCTTGGACAGAAGAGCGGGGGAGATGGATGGAGAGAGCAGTGGAGGATGGGCGATGATGAAGAGGTGAGGTGTAAAAGGGCGGAAAGGCTTGAAGTGGTGGTTCTGGTGGTGGAGAGCGTGAGGGATGGGATGAGTTGGCGTGCGAATGGGAAAGTGGGTCTGCTGCGTGAATGCACTTTCCCTCAGCTTTTGGCTGCGCCTTGCCGCATTGGGCTAGTGCTGCTCTGTCTCGCGTCACGTGTTGGGGCTATTTAAAGACGCTGCGTTCTGATTGGCGGGAATTGGAAGTCCTGATCAAAGAGGAAGGAGAAAGAGGAAAGGCATCAGATTCACCGTCACTTCTCTCACCGTTCGAGGCGCGTCTTGCTGGCGCCGCTGAGTTTCAGGACCGCCTTCTTGGATGTCGGTTGCTGTCAGCCGCTGGCCAAGCACACATTCTGTATTGCGGAAGGGCGGCTCTGGATTGAGATTTCAACTGCCTGGCGCCATCTCCAGACGACTGTGGCACCAGGCCCATCGCTCCTATGCGAGTCATCCATTCGGAGTCCTCTGCAACACGAAACTGGACAGCGTGCTCTTCCCCTCCAGTCGATTCCCAGGTCGGGCATCGATTCAATACTTGCTACGTATATCCGTGCCACAGGGCGCCAGGGCTCACTTTTCCATTTATTTCTCCCCTTCTCACTTGCTCAAATCAGCAACGCCATCATTGTTAACATCTTGTGGCTCATGGAATCCACGTGAACCGGCTGGGCTTTGGATATGTATGAGCTCTTTAAAAAGGGTCAAAGTCAAGGCCGATTCGGTCTCAAAAATGAACCAAGTCAACTCCCGACTGTTCTAGAACCCAATTATTGAAACCATACAAAACATTTGATATAACTATGTACCAACTGCTCTGTCCAAGATTCGAGAAGAAGTCTCATCCTTTATGGCAAACAATATTTGGGGCCCTGTCAAGCATGTGCTGCTACCCAACTTGTGTCAATGCTTTTATCCTGCAATTACTGATGGCTGCCCTGGATTGGGATCAAGCTTCAGAAAGGGTGCCATACCAGACTATGGCCTCCTGATGTGTTCGTCAATGACTGAAAACCGCATTTCGGTGTATGCTGGTCCTCATTTCATTTTCACGGAGTTGATCCCGTCTTTTGGAGCCTCAGCGGAAGTTGGAGCAACCCGCACGCTTATCTAACTAACTAATCATATTACCTAGTTACACAGAGAGTAATTCAAGCTCCAATATATACCTACCGAGGTCAGCTCTGATGAACAATAAACATTCAGGTCCTATCCAGCGGACACATCATGCCCTCCAAAAGCTCCCATTCTCCCTCTATGAGGCACTCAACTTCCCTGACTGCAAATAAATTGCCACCAGTTGAGTTTAGATTCCAAGGCATGCACAGCGCAGCACAGACCGACCACTCTTCCTTTGAAATTGCGCGCTAGATATTATCACTCTTGAAGCATCAAGGCCTCGGGAGGATGGAGACAATCGATAAGACACTTAGAAAGGCTTAAAAGGGCCACTCTCGCCTCGCCCAGCTGTGTCCTTTGCGGCCGTCCATCCTGATATTGGTCGCACATTGTTTTTCGAACTAAAAAACTCTTGCTTCCTGCGACTCGGACAACCCCAGCCGTCTCTCCCTCCTTTAAAATGGCGAACTGCCCTTGCATTGGTGGGAACTAAGAAAATTCCCTGAAGTTTGCGACCGGAATCACAAGCTCCAAGTCGTTGGAGAGCACGTCGAGGGCACAATCGATCCGAAGATGTAGAGGTTGTCGCTCAGAAGGCCGAGGCAACTTCAACCGGAACATTATGTTCACTAATGAGCAGAGTCATTAGTACGTCACCTGGGGCCTGAAATCCTTGAGCGAGTGCTATGCCTGGCTAGGATTCTGGCAGCGCGATGCTCCACTACTGTCGCTTGCCTGCTGAATGGGAGCGTGGAATCTGCAAGAGATGGAAAGTGGTGAAGTGGGCTGGAGAAGTTCTGATGCTGTACTCTACCTGGTCTGTTTTTTCGCACGGATCTCCATAAACGAAGGGTGATGTTGTGGTGGTCGCAATAAATTATTTATCAGAACTGATCTATCACCCGGGCAAAGCCTATCCAGCCAGCCAGGCTCACTTTGACGGGTAACAATTAACTAATGAGCACATCATTGCAAAGCTGATCGCGGACCGGCCGACAAAAATGGAAAATTGTCCAAGGGCAACGTAATACCAGTACTTCTTTTGCTCGCCCATCGGATCATATCATTGTTGCTGTACAAACATGGAAACACCCAGGAGCTTTATCTCCGGAGATCGGACCGGCCGGCTGTTTTTGGTAGCCAGATGCGGGTAAGCTTCACTATTTCATCCGAGGCCAACTGGTATAAAAGCTATTCCATCCCTCCGAAAGTTTGAAGCTCTGCGTGGTTTGTGCTGCTTTTCCCAGTGGTAAGCTTGCCGGCACTGGCCTGGTTCTTCAGTTGAAGATGATACAATCAAGCTGACTCGGAGTGTTTATTAGGTTCTTGACTCCGCAACAATCGCGCAAAAACCACGCAGCGGCCTTGCGCAATACCAAGTGCTACACTCCGTCCATTGCCACGTTGGATACTATTTAAAGCCTTTGCTTTTCTACAATTTGACATCCATCGCTCCGGTTCCTTTCCAAACTGTTCGGGATGCCTTCCTGCTGTGATTCAAAGTCTTCAGACCCTGCGGGTGAAAAGGCTAACGCTGGCAACAAGGGAAATTCCAAGCTGTCAAGGGCTCTCGCGAATTTCTCTCCAATCCTACCTGCTCTTCTTCACAGCTCTTGCTGTTGGCTGCCAGTGAGTGAGCCTCGAGATCAAGCCATCACATGGTACTCAATGACTGATTGTTCTTGATATCTAGGCTGTGCTTGACTTCCTCTCTATCGGTTCTGCGTCTGCTACTATCTTCCACCGGTTCAAGCCCCTTTTCCTCCTCATAACTCTCGCCACGCTTGCGTGGAACGTCCATAAACGCGGGCTCGATAATCGCAACTTGATCAGGATTGCTCTCTCTGGGATCTTCCTGGCTTGGCCCCATATATCGGCAAATTTGTCTCCAGCTTCGCATACACAACACGGCGGTCACAAGAGTTGTCATTAATCGAGCCTGCTTTTGTGTACGATGGCCGCATTTGTGGCGCGGCACGCCAATCCGGCCCTATCCCACTGTTCCTCTTTCCGGCCAAACTTATTTTCCAAGCAGTCTTTTGTCCATCGCACTTTGACCAGACGCACGCTTCCCCGACCGATCTTTTACTCGGGTATTCGCGCTGCATGCTCCAAATCTCAAGCTTCCCAGAACGAACCAACGCAGCCCCCGGCGTCAGCTTTGACTCTAGGATTCTGGAAGTCGAGATATTTGTGGCAACGTGCAGGCATCAACACATTTCGATGTCTGATCGGCTGCTCTCTCGGTGACTTCTCTGCGATGTGGTTCCTGCAGGCGAATTGCCCGGATATGTCGGTTGGGCTGGTTATGGGAATATCAAGTAATAACTGGGCCCCTTTCCTTCCTTATCTGTGTGATCCCTTTGGTATTCTAACAACCTGTGCACAGTGATATCTGGCCTAAGCACGTCAATGGCGTTGGAAACCGTCCTCCTACGGCTAGGTCGTGACCAGCTGACATGGGCGACGGCAGCAAAGACGGCAGCAGGAATGAGCATGGTCTCGATGTTGGGGATGGAAACTGTTCAAAATATCGTTGATTATCATTTGACGAGTGGCATTGTAGCACTGAATGATCCAAAATTTTGGTTGGCTGCGGCGGCGTCGGCCCTTGCGGGGTTTCTAGCCCCATTGCCGTATAACTATTCGAGATTGAAGAAATACGGGAAGAGCTGTCATTGAATTTTGTGTTGAGTACTTATAGGTGATTATTTGGGGCGACCCGTTTATGTTTTATCACCTTGGCTTTCCCGCAGACCTTGTATATGTCATATTGAGAAATATAGACCAGCTCGTTCAAGAGATGTACGGAGTACAAGGATGATCTCTCCTCTCTCCATTTCGGTAGCTTTGAGAAACCAATAATTTTGAGATTCTTGGGCAACTTGGAAATTGTCGGGCGGGTAGGGCTTGATATACATCGCCCACGGAGCACCGACCTCCAACCAGCGCACCCCAGCTCATAAGATCGGGTAGTATTGCCGTATTGTGTCCTCTGGATGCATGTTCCATGCGTTGTTAGATCGCACTCTGTGCTTTCTACCCTGTCTCAGCTATATTAATGCTGTTTGTGTTGGGGTCATGGCAATCAGACCAGTCAATCGCTTGTCTCACATATCACAAATGCATGTCACCAAGCACGATGCACAATGCAGGAGCGAGCAGGTCTCATAGGGCACATATCTCGATCAATGATTGAATGACATGGAATTCTCCCACGCCACAGCAACCAGATGACACTTGCTCTCCTGCACCTGTATAGTAAGACAGAGGAAGTAATCCAAGCCCTGACCGCAATGACCCTTCGCGAGAAGCATCGCGGTGCCGCGGTGCCTGGGAGGGAAATACGGAGGATATTAGGACTGCGACTTTTTTAGGTTCTTGGCACAACACCCCTAACTAACTAAAACTTGAAGGACTGAACATCGCCGTCCCCAGCAACCCGAGCAAGTTCTTTGCACGCCCTCCGCCTGTTCCTGTCAATGCTATCAAGCTGCTGTGGAGTCTCTGTTCACCCTTTGGCTTCATCCTTGTCCAGACTGACCTTTATGTGCTGCTAGACCCTTTGGGCCATGCCAAATGGTCTCGCTGTCTTGCATTGACCCTTGCGTCCAACTGGTCACTCTGCAGACTCTCCATCAGAGGTTAATCAGACAGTTGGGTCAGGGACACAGCCAGCAGCCGCGGAACCTGGGCGTTTAACTACATACTTTGGAAGTTACCAGGCCCGATATTGGATGCGAACCGTTCAACGGCATCAAGCGCTACCTCCGACCACCGGACACCCTCCAGCCTCTGGCCTCGTTCCTCGAGTTCGAATCCTTTCCTCGTGCGTGCGGTTCCTCTGATATCTGTTGGTGTCGCGTGAGGGCATCTCTTCTCTAGATGAGCTCAATTGCAGCCGCTCGACACATTGCATTTCACGACCCTTTGTACTCCTTCGCCGGATTCGTCCCTGAATCGACGCCCCAAACCTTCCCATAACCACCCGTTTCGATCGGCCGGGAATGGCATTCTTTTTCAAGTCAAAAAAGCACAACCATCCGGCCTCTGTGCCGCAAGCGCCCAGAAACCTCAGCGCATCGGAGGGCAATTCAACTCCTACACCCCCTCCAGGCCCCGGAACCAATGGCGTCCCTCGTGATGCTGATTCCAAGCAAGGCCCGCCTCGTCCCTCAACTTCAGGGCACAATAGTCCCATGAATGCTATGGTGCCTCCTCCTTCGGGACCTCCAAATCAACCGCCGCCTCGACAAAGACGAGATAGGGCTGATTCCGACACTCAAGTGAGCCCGCAATCTCCAAGTTATTCTGCATCCATTATCCTACCTCTGGGGCTAACAAGATCGTTTTATAGGGACCACGACAGATGCCTATGAATGCCGGCCCGCCGTCCCAAGGCGCCAATTCGCTTTTTCCTTGGTCGCAGCGCCGCCTAAACCTTCCCACTTCACAAGCTACGCCGTTTCCCCGATATGGCGCCGCCGTTAGCTCCGTCGCATCGGAAGATGGTGATATTTATTTGATGGGAGGCCTGGTGGAAGGATCGACAGTCAAAGGAGATCTCTGGATGATTGAGACTAATGGTCCTAACATAACATGTACTCCCATTACTCCCGTTACTGAAGGACCCGGTCCCCGAGTGGGCCATTCGAGCTTGCTTGTTGGGAATGCGTTTATTGTTTTTGGGGGAGATACAAAAATAAACGAGAATGATGCCCTGGACGATACGCTTTATTTTCTAAACACTTGTGCGCAACCCGCCCCGCATTTCCACCTTTCGTGCTCTGCAAGTGCTAACCCCTCTGTTTCCCAGCTTCACGTCAATGGTCTCGTGCTGTGCCGCCAGGCCCAAGGCCTCAAGGGAGATATGGCCATTCTCTGAACATGCTTGGCTCTAAAATATACGTCTTTGGTGGCCAAGTGGAAGGCTTTTTCTTTAATGACCTTGTTTGTTTTGATCTTAATGCTTTGCAAAACCCCGGGAATAAGTGGGAATTCCTTGTGAGGAGCAGCCATGAAGGTGGCCCGCCCCCAGGCAAAATTCCTCCGGCACGAACAAATCACACTGTAGTTACTTTCAACGACAAGCTTTATCTGTGAGTCTGTGAGAAAACGTTTGAAAGAACGACAGCACTAATCAGGCCTTAGGTTTGGTGGCACGAATGGAATCCAATGGTTTAACGATGTTTGGTGTTATGATCCGACTACAAATCTTTGGACGCAGCTGGACTACCTTGGATTTATACCTGCCGCGAGAGAAGGCCACGCAGCCGCCCTCGTAAATGATGTTATGTACATATTTGGCGGACGCACGGACGAGGGCCTTGATTTGGGTGATTTGGCTGCATTCCGGATTACGACCAGACGCTGGTACTCGTTCCATAATATGGGGCCGGGACCGTCGCCGAGGTCCGGACACACAATGACCACCTTTGGTAAACAGATCGTTGTTCTTGGCGGCGAGCCGAGCTCTGAGCCCCGTGATATTCAGGAGCTCGGGTTGGTATATGTGCTGGACACTGGTAAAATTCGCTATCCTGAACAAGGACCTACTTCTCCCACTGGCGATAGACATCCCAGAAGGATACCTCCAAACGAACGACAACTAGGGCCTTCAGGTCGTACTTCTCGTGAAGCCCTGAATTCGACTCCAGACCAACAAAGACGGGGACCTCCACCACCTCAGGGTCGAGACAATGTTACAAGTCCAGGGCCTAATGGACCTGGCTCTAGACTGCCGCGGGCATCAATTGCCCAAGCGCCCGCTGGGCCACCCCCATCCGGACAACCACCTAACCCTCGAGGTCCACACCCTGGGTCACAAGGACCTCGTGGAAAGCCATCTATGAAACCAGACAGACCACCCGTCGGTCCTGTGGAAGCGATCAGGGCGTCTGAGAAAGATCGACAATCCCCTGTTATGAGAGATGGTAGCATGAGACCTGGTCGGGAGCAAAGTCCCATTGCTGGTAACGGGCGACGAACCCCAACACAACCTGCAAGAAATGCGCGAGCTATGGAGGCTGGTGAAGCCGCCCCTTTAGTGAGTGCCCCTTCAAGACAGCGGTCGTTACGCCAGCAAAGACATAGCTCTGTCGAGAGTGTAGATGAATCAATCCTCGGTTCAGAACCCAGACCTTATAGAAACTCCCGAAATTTCGGAGATGAGCCCCGTTCACCCCGTCTCACCCCTCACCAAGAAGCACTTATGAAAGAGCTTGAAGCAATGAAAAGTCGCAATGCGTGGTATGCCTCCGAGTTAGCACTAGCCAAAAAACAGGGTTACGTGCCAACACCGAACCCTGCGGTTTTAGATGAAAAGAACCTTCTCAATTTTGCGGAGGACGATCGCTCATTTGTTGAGGCTTTTCTTGCTATGAAGGCAGAACTGGCAAAGATGCAGGCCAACGTCGATCGGCAGGCAGCCATTGCGTCAAAAAGGGTTGCCGAAGTCGAGCACCAACGGGACGTTGCTATAAACGAAGCGGCCTATGCCCAGGCCAAACTAGCTGCGCGCGCGGGAACCCCTTCGGGAACCCCACAGTTAGACTCAAATCCATCTGACTCCAATGGAGAACGGACCACCGAAATTAGCAGACGTCTCGCGTTAGCTTTGGCATCCCAAAACGAGCTCAAGAATAAAGTGGAACTCCTGTCAGCAGAACTTCAGGAGGAAAGACGCGCAAGGGAAGTAGCCGAGGAACTCCACGAAATTGCGAGTCGAAGACTTTCTGAGCTGGACAATCAAAGTAATACTCTAGAATTAGAACAGTTGCGGTCGGAACTGCATCAACTCCAGTTCTCTTTCAGAGAGGAATCGGCGCTGCGGTCTAATGCGGAATCTTCGGTCCAAGTTCTTGAAGTTGACAAAGCCGAGTTATTGCAAAAATTGGAAGAATCTACCGAGCGGCTGCAGAATTATAGTCTCACTCTCGGCTCCCTGAAAGAAGCGGTTAATGCGTCAGTTGATAAAGCGGCAGTCATGGAAAAGCAATTAGAAAGCGAGAAAGAACACCGTGAAGGTCTGGAAAGAAAGTTGCTGCATCTAAGGGCTGAGCACGAGGAAAGGACCGCAGAGCTTGAGACTGCGGTGCGGCGACTCAAAGATGCCGAAGAGCTAGCGGAAACGCATGCTCGGGAGGCAGAGAGCCATAAAGCTGCATTTTTGGCTGGTTTGGAACGTGCATCCTCTTTTGATTCGGAGAAAAGCGCTGCTTCGCTTCACGATCAACGTAACGCGGCTCTTCAAGCCCAAGTTGATCGTGCGAATGAGTTGGTCAAGGACAGTCAGAATGCTGCTAATGTGGCAGCTGATAAACTCAGACGTGCTGAAGAAAGGATTGCGGGGCTAGAAGCTTATCAAGAGCAGAGTAGCCGAGAAGGTCTTCAGCTTCGAAGGCAGCTGCAGGCAGCCTTAAAGGATAATCAGGCTCTGAATGCCGAAGTCAGGGAGGTGAAGGCACATCTTGAGAGCCAGCAGAGAGACACTAGTGCCCTAGCCATTCAGCACGGCGCTTTAAAGGATCTCCTTGGCGAGCGTGGTGTCAACATGTCTGATAATCGACGATCGCCGTTGTTAGACTCGCCTGGATCGCGGTTTGGAACCCCCGAGCATACGCGATTACGAGAATTAGAACAGCAACTACAAACCAGCTTGAAATCCCACGAAGAGATGAAGGCGACTTTTGAATTTAGAGAGCAAGAGGCCGATCGCCTTTACCAGGAAAAACTTGAACAGCTTGAGAACGACTACCAGGCCGCCGTGCATTACGTGAAGGGAACGGAGAAGATGCTGAAGAGGATGAAGGATGAGCTCAACAAATACAAGGCGCACTCTACGAAACTGCAAACCGAGCTGGACAACGTTCTGAGTTCAAAGGACTCAGAGAGGACACCGAGCCAACCGCTAGAGTCACCGGCTGAGTGGGAAGCGGAGAAGGCTAGTTTACAAAAGTCGATAACTCAACTGCAGGAGACTACTTCTGCATCCGTTTCTGCACTCGAGGGTCAGCTTGCGAAGGTCAAGGGGGATCTGTTGAGAGTGAGTTCAGAACGAGATAACTCGAGATCAGAGTTCAAAGCGTTCCAAGACGAGGTCACGCAATCGATCCAGAAATCTCAAGCCGAACTGGAACAACTGAAGAAGGAAAATACGTTGCTGGAAAATCGTGCACTTGATGCGGAGAAGAAAGTTACTATGCTTTTGGACCAGGTGGAATCTTCCGTTGTCAACTACCGTCGCCAGTCGCATTTGGGTGCTGGCTCCAACGGTTTGAGTCGCACCACGAGCAATGCTTCCAGTAACGCGATTGCAGCCCGAGGACGTTCGAGAGCTGATAGCACTGTGTCGCAGGATGATTCATTCCCTGACCATCGCGGCTCACTTGCGCTTGATTCCCTAGCCACCGAACTCGACGCCCTTCGAAGTCATTGGGAGAGCACGACTCGAAATTATCGCCTGAGCAGTCAATTCGACTTTGAACGCACGCCTGTTAAGGAGACCTATGGAGATGGGCTGAGTGATAGCTTTGCCAATTGGCGACGCAGGCTTGATGAAGAGGAGTCTCGCTCAGAAACACCTATCAAAACCCCAACGATGCCGATGGTTGCTGCCCCTGCGCCAGCACCCGTGCCTACATTGAGCAAGGATAATACATCCGCCGCTACAACGCCAACTCAGGCAAATATGATTTAAACACGTTTTTAGTCCGGCCGGCCATGCAGCTGCAGCGGTACCGGGTAACGTTTTTCATTAATTATATCCTTCCTTTGCTTTCTCTTGTTTAACTATTTTACCATCTTTCTATTATACTGCAGTTGTCCCAAGGTGCTACTTAACTCTATGTATATTTCTCTTTTCTTTACAGCCCTTATTATCAGTGCTAATTTCTAATTTTCTCTGTTTGATCACCAAGCCATCACTTTACTCCCTATTTATTTTTGTTTCCTGCCGTGATGTTCAATCATGATCGTGTGTCCACCGTGCTGTGTCGTATTTTCCCAACAAAAGGAGGGATGTATCAAACTATAAGATGCAGCTCGAGCGAAAATCCTGTTTCTAATTTCCCTTCGGTTTTTTTCTTCACCAGTGCGTTGATTCCGTACTTTCGATTCTCCGGGTCTCTTTGCTTCTCCAGGTCCAGGTGGTACTCGGTTACGTGCTCAGATATCCCTTCCGCCCATTTGCGATTTCTGTTGATATGATTCTTTATTATTGATATCAAACAAAGAGAGGACGTTCACTGCCAGAGTATTCCGGAATAAATGACTGGTAATCCACTGTTGCCCTTCAACATCAATGTTGCAGTTGGTGAGAGCCATATTAGAACAGTGCAGCTCACTTGCAGTCTGGGAAACTGCATGACTCACTCTGGCATTAAGATTCTGCTCACTAGGTTGTAGAACTCATTTTGCCTGTTGTTATCTTAACTGAATTGACCAGCGGATGATAAACCTTGCTTCATGACTTGGTATCAATTGACTCTAAAAGCCTGATGGCTTTACCTTCATACTTAACAAAACCCAAGCACAATCTTACCAGATTTGCAACCTCTGAATAATCACTGCCTTTTGTTAAGAGTAAATGGGAGGTATCAGCTAATGAAGGGTAGGTAGGTCTCAGACCTTCAAATACATGAAAGAACGCTATTTTCGAAACAACTTCTTGTCCAGTGCGTGCTAGATGGTCGCTAAGGATATGATGATCGGGAAACCCCAGGTTCGCCCAAAAGCTCCCATTTCTAGATAATTAGAAAGGCCCCGGTTACTCTAGCAGCGTTCAAAGCCCCGGTCGCTCCACCGCCCATAGCCGTGCTCTGAAGCGTAGCAACAATACTCCCCAATGAACCGGCAACAGTACCTGGTGCAGAAGAGCCGAGAGTGCCCAATGTCAGTGGTGAAACGCATGGAATTGATGTGGGAATGGCTCCCCGAGACACACATGAGGTTCCTACAATGCCTACGAAAGAATTTAACCGCGATCTCAGCCCCTGAAGCGACGAAACTTGCGACTTGACCCATCTGACTACTGGTCAATTAGCCTACTTGTCCTGCGCGTTGTCACTTGTGGAAACAGTACTTACTTTGAGAAACAGGACAGCCTCAGTTTCAATAGTGTGTGGTATGCAGACGGGTCTCGTTCTATGTCTACAATGTGATCTCTCTTTATTTTACTTCTGGGGAAGCGGACATTTTGAATTGGCAATTGCATGCCTGAGTAGGTCAAACGCAGGTTTCCTGATTAGTTATCTGTTGTACAGAGTTGGGGTTGATGCAAGGATATATCACATCTGCAGAAAGCCATTCCCCCAACAGAGGGTGCATTTGCTAGCAAAGGGGGATTGGACAGTTGAAATCGCCCCGGAAGTTTATATCCGGCTAAATATAAATGAATTCTGCAAGGTGGTCGGGAAATTGGCGCAGTGCCCTGCTGCAAATTGAACGCCCAAATGCTACCATAATTTTCTCAGGGGGCGGCTGCAGTTTGAGGCTCCTTGAGTCAGATTTCACACGGTATTCATTCAGCTACCCGGCGCTTATGCGGTAGCGAGTTGGCAGCCGCTCCAAAATGTGAGTGTGATGCGAATAAAGAGCCTGGTGCACCCTGCGCTCATTCTGGATCCATCATGAAGATCAGTGATGGTGTGCCTGACCTCTGGGAAACACGGCTTTAGACTCCTGGGCTAGACCGATTGGGGATTCGACCGGAAAATAATTGATTAATGATTGCAGAATTTGCGGAGGGATATAGATGCAATGCGAGGGCGCCTAGTTAATCACTGCAAGCATCATTAACCAAATCATTTTGGAAATACTTAGTTACCCAACTCAGCAGATCACCGTAAGCTATTTCCATCTCTTCACCCGCATACTACTGTTGGTCGTACCACAGGGATGTTTGGAACGAAGAAAACTGCGCCGCAAGTCCCCGTCCGAACATGCTTTAAACGATGTCTTTCGAGCGCCAATCATACGTAAAAATGGTCGACCTGAGAAGCGTAAAATTCCCGGCTACATACTTACTGACATTCGCTAATCTGATCTCTAACACAAAAAGTAAAAGCTGTAGCGGGAGGTGGCAATGATATAGCAATCAATTGAGCATCTTGTAATACGTCAATCTCAGATTTTAGGTTCAGCTCAGTTGCGGGATGGAGGGAACGCCAAAAATAGCACCGATGCAATAGCCAAATGCGAGTAGGACTGGGCTATCCTCGACGCAGGAGCGATAAGAATTCGTCTCTGGTTTCGGCGCTCGACCGCATGCACCCAACCATGTAGCTGGTAGTTGTAGCAGTTCCAACCTTCTCTACGCCACGCATGGCCATACAAAGATGGGAGGATTCCATGATTACCCCAACACCCTTGGGGTTAAGCACGTCAAAAATGGTCATGGCAACCTGTTTCGTCAGGCGTTCTTGAATCTGGAGTCTGCGAGAGAATATCTCAGCCAAACGGGCCACTTTGGAGAGGCCCAATATACGGCCGTCTGGGATGTACCCTATGTGCATCTACCTTGTTTGGTTATTATTATTTTGTGCCAAAATGAGTGCAGGATTTGGTACCTTTCCAGTAAAGGGAACCACGTGATGTTCGCAAAGAGAGAAGACATCAATATCTCTCACAATAACGAGTCCGTCGTAGTTCTCGTGGAAGATGGCTCCATTGACCAGGCTTTGAACATCCTCCGCATAGCCTTTGGTGAAATATAACATGGCTTTGGCATATCTCTCTGGTGTCGTACGTAGGCCTTCTCGTTCAGGATCTTCCCCAACACATTCAAGGATTGTGCGTACAGCCTTCGCAAGCTTCCGAATCCGGTCTCCATCTCCATTCAGTGTTGACTCCAACTGCCGTGGTGTTTCGAGGCATAGGTGATAAGAGTCAGATGGAAGTGCCCCTCGCCCAGTCAAACCTTCGTGAGACAGGTCGCCGACGGGAGCTCGGCAGCTGGTCAAGAATCAGAAATCTTGCCGGAAAGGTGGTACATATATTTATAACTTACCATAGAGTCGCCATCCCATGAATATCTTCCATCTCCTGAACCATGGTCCTCGCAACGAACACCTCAACCGAGTCCGAATCAATATGGAAAGGTAATGAAGTGCAAATGGCTGACTTAAGGCACCGGCTCTCGCAGAAGTCACTAAGCTGGGTACCAGAACCTGGGCTCGCTGAAGAATGTTGGGGAGCGGCTGCAGTTCAGCATATGAGACGGACATTTTGATAGCTCGAAAGACGGAAGGGGGCTTCCAAAATCACAGTTAGAAGACGGATATGAGTGTCATGCATGCTCCTAAATCAGGAGCATGGCACGGCAGCTTTCGAAACGGGCGGGTGGAAAAATAATATACCACCTGCAAGGGCCCAGCTTTATTTGGTAGACTGCCACTCACTGCCTAGCGTCAAAGAACTTCGCTTAACTGACGGCCGCTGGCCTAATTGACGAAGAGTTAAACCACGAGCGCATCGTCGTTAGGACCTCACCAACAGATCCCATCATCGTTACAGTCAGCTCATATAACGCAGTGGAAATGGCCGACCTCGACTCTCTCAAGCGGGTACTGAAACAGAAAGCGACCGCAACGGCATCATTGTCGAAGCAGTCGTTGTCGGACACACAGTACAGCGATGGTTTCGATAACTTCGTGCGAGGCTCAGGTTGGGCCATCTATCGAGACTTTATTATTCCCCAAATGACTGAGGTATTGAACACCATCTTCAACTCGCACGCTCTTATCTCAGTGCTAGAAATCGGCCCCGGACCGAAGAGTATACTCGGATATCTTCCCAGCCATCTGAGACAAAAAATCAAGAGATATACCGCATTTGAACCCAACGTCCTTTTCGCCACGAAGATGGAGAAATGGCTTCGTCCTAACCTGCGAGCGGAATGGCCGTTCCCTTGTCTGGAAAACTCTCCCAATATCCATCGAGTGCCATTTATCCTGCACAGCGACAGGAAGATGGATGCAGCTGGTGACACTCATGACAATGACGAGAAATACGACGTGATCCTATTCTGTCACAGCATGTATGGCCTAAAGCCCAAAGCCAAATTCATCGAACAAGCTCTAGAAATGCTTGTCGAACAGCCCGAGGGTGTGGTAACAGTTTTCCATCGCGATGGGCACTTGGACTTTGATAGATTGGTATGCCATCGAACAGCTACCTTTCCAACCGGGGAGATTTGCGTTCCGGATGACGACCATGCACTGGATAGCTTTGCTTCTTTCGTTGCAGGATTTGAATTGCAAGACACAGAAGTCGACAAAGCTACCCGAGGCGAATGGCGTAGAGCGTCCCGTGCACTCAGTCGACAAACGGAAGCTCGGCCAAACCGTATCTTCTTCAGTGCGCCCAACGCGATGGTGGTTTTTACCAAACATTCGACTGCTGTATCCGAGCTGACAGCTCAGGTGCCAGTCCTGGAGGGAGGCATATCAGTTAAAAACTGGGAGGCTCGCCTTCATCGCCCTGCGTCAATTGTTAAGCCGACAGAGATTCGACAGATCCAGTATTGCGTTCAATGGGCTATTAAGTATAAGACTGGCCTCACCATCGTCGGTGGTGGTCACAGCGGTCACTGCTTATGGCCAAATATCGTTGCGATTGATATGGGTGCTTTTGACAGAATACACATTTGTCAGGGTCGGGATGGGGTGGAACGATCCAGTCTTGATCGTCTTCCCTTGATCGTCGCTGAAGCCGGCTGCAAGGCAGGGGATATTGTTCGTAAAACCATGGCAGCCGGCCTGACAGTGCCATTGGGTGCTCGGCCAAGCGTGGGCGCGGGGCTGTGGTTACAAGGCGGCATCGGGCATTTGTCTAGGCTGTACGGGCTGGCGTGCGATGCCATCGTCGGTGCTGTGGTTGTCAGTGTCGAATCTAGTCAGGTTCTCTGCATCGGCGATGTGCCAAGTCAACACTGGCCAATCGGTGCTGTCCGCCCAAGAAACGAAGCGGATCTCCTATGGGCGTTGCGCGGTGCTGGAACCAATATTGGCATAATAATCAGCGTGACCTTCAAGGCTTTTGCCGCTCCTACGTACTCGGTTCGAAATTGGGTTGTTCCACTGAGGGACGGCCAGGATGCGAGGCTCAAGATCAGCCACTTCGAGGAGACCTTTGCAAAGAAACTGCCCCGAAATTGTTCTGCAGATGCATATTTATACTGGGAAGCCGGCCAGATGCACCTTGGGGTAAATATGTTCCAAGTCTCCACGCGGGGGTGCAACTCGCAGCCCTGTGCACCCTTACCCTTAGCTGTGGGCGACCCACTGAGAACGGGAGATAATTTGAAGTCTATGAACGGTGTGGATGTGTTCGACGCCGAGCTGTACATGTCTGGAATGCATGGCGGACACGGCGGCAACAAAACTTCTTCGTTCAAGCGATGTTTGTTTCTAAAAAGTATTGGCGAGCAAAAACTCACTCGAAAGTTGGTAGAGGCCATTGCAACTAGGCCATCACCACTCTGTTACCTCCATCTGCTTCAGGGTGGGGGAGCAGTCGGCGATGTGGAAAGTAACGCCACTGCCTTCGGTTGTCGGGACTGGGAGTATGCCTGTGTTGTGACTGGCGTGTGGCCCCGAGATCATGATGGTAATGAGATGGCTCGAGAGGTCGTGCGGTGGGTATACCGCGTCGCTGAGGACTTGTTGCCCTCGAGCTGTGGGGTTTATAGTGCAGATTTGGGACCGGATCCAAGAGATGGGCCACTATCTGTTCACGCTTTTGGGCCAAATCGGCATCGCCTAGCCCACCTGAAGCGCACGGCGGACCCGTCTGATGTGCTCAAGTACACTTGCCCATTGCCAAAAGCATCGACAGCACAGAAGCTAATCATTCTGGTCACTGGTGAAAGCTGCGCTGGGAAGGATTACTGCGCCGACATTTGGGCCTCCGTGTTTATCGCGAACACTCAAAACCGCCTTGCGGCGCGCGCAATCAGCATTAGCGATGCGACCAAGCGAGAGTATTCGGCAGCTACTGGTGCGAGCTTGAAGCGTCTACTTCAGGATCGTGCATACAAAGCGCAGCATCGATCAGCCTTGACAGACTTTTTCCAGAATCAGGTCCAGCGACAACCACTCCTTCCAGAAAAGCACTTCTTGGATGTGGTGCACGATGCCGCAGATGCCAATGTGATACTGATCACAGGGATGAGGGATGAGGCTCCGGTTGCCACCTTGTCGCGTTTGGTGCCTGCTAGTCGACTGATCGAAGTCCGTATCAAAGCCACTGACACGGCTCGGGAGCTTCGCGGAGAGAGTACCGTGAAAGACAGCAGCAAAGACCGTTCAACTCTGACAGCCCTGAACCACCACCCCAGCTTCATTTTTGACAATGACACCACGGGGGACGAGGCAGCAATTAGGTTTGCCGAGAACTACCTGCTTCCGTTCTTTCACGAAGATCTCCAGCGACTCTCCAGAATGGTGAATCTGGTGCCCAACTTTCCACGCCCGAACATCGAGTTTCGCCACGTGCTCAACATCGCCCAGCAACCAGATGGGCTGGCCCTGTGCACATCTTTGATGCAGTCTCACTTCACCGGTGACTGGGCCAACGTTGATGCGATAGTGTGTTGCGAGGCCGGCGGCTTCGTCTATGCCTCAGCACTCGGCTTGCGGGTTGGAGTACCATTGGCACTGATCCGTGAAGCGGGAAAACTGCCCCCACCCACCATTTCTTATCCCAGGTGTGCATCACATATAACTTCTTCGACATCGGCATCTAACGTTTCCAAGGCGAAACAGATTGAGATGGGCTTGAATGTGATCCCTAGAGGAGCATCAGTGGTGGTCGTAGACGATGTACTTGCCACGGGCAACACACTTTGCGCGGTTTTACAGCTTCTAAGGAAAGCTGATATCTGTGCTGATGATGTTAGAGTCATGGTTGTCGCCGAATTCCCTGTCCATCGCGGCCGGGAATTGTTACGGCAGCGCGGGTTTGGCAGAGTTCATATACAGAGCCTTTTGAATTTTGATGGTGTTTAGGGAAAGATGGACGAATCTTCTCTGTCAGAACTGCAGTTGACCAGACCAGTAGCCCACAGTTATAGTGAATTGAATTGAGCTTTTGTTGTACTGTGTCTCACCTTTTGTGGCACTGTACGGAGGTCGCCGCCATATGTTTTGGTCCTTCAGTATAGGGGCCTCTCCCAAGCCTTCGGCGCTGCTTAGCGGTCCTTAACTTGTAGGGCTGTAGAGACCAACCCCCCTTGTCCCCGCAAGATTACCCCTAAACTCAAGCCTGTGAACGCCCGAAAGTGTGGATTCAACGGAACCAATATTTATGGCGGCGACCTCCGTACGGAGTAGACTGTAGTTATATCCTCTCTCCCCGCATCAGACGGGTGAGGTTAAGTGTCTTGGCATTGGTTGCTGAGCTCAGCCGCACTAACTAAGTTAGTTAGACCAACCACGGTTAGCTGCTGGGTTCGAACGATGTCACTCACAGCTGCCGGATGCTCGATCACAGCTAATTTTATCGTCATTCTTACTGCATCACCGGCCCGTTTCGAAGGCATAGCTCCCTGTAAATCGTTTTGCGACGGGTTCTTGACCACCAGCTCTCCAGGTAAACTAAAGTAAGTGACTGAGCTCCGCCATTTAACCCGCATTGTCGCTTGAACTGAACATCCGTCCTGCTCCCTGCAGTGATCGACCCTCTTTAGAACCTCCCTTCTTCACCCTTGCGGTGGGCACCATATGCGGCTGAACAGCGATGCGAGACCCAAAGTCGGACACGTATCAAGACGCACAAACTCGACCGCAGACCGCCGAACAAATGCAGTCCGTGCCGCAGAGTAAAGCTGCACGCGTCAGCTTCGAACCACAAGTCGAGATGTACGATGCTCCGACACTAGATCTCCGTCCTTCGTCAACGGGCCATCATCGGTCTCAGACTGTGACTTTCAAAGGAAACGGCCATATCGATGTTTCAAATGGGGCTTCTGGGACGGCAACGTCGGTATCAGGGTATTCGTCTGCACGAATAGCTGAGCCTGTAGCCAAGAGTATGCGACCGACTCCTACGCTTGTCCGGGCGAAAAGCGACCATTGGTTGAAGCATGAGCAAGATGACGCCGCAAAGGACGACGACGAGGATTTTGAGCTGAGGCATGGTTGGCAGGAGGAGTACACGTCGAGCGAATATCTGAAGATATTAAATTCCGTGGGTTGTCTTCATGAACTTTTACAGCGAGAGACTAACCGGCTCGTAGAATTTTTATATGTATTTCAATGAAAAGCGCCACGATACCGGAGGAATACCGAAGGAACAGACCGGAACCTGGATGCAACAGGATTGGCGCATGAGGGATCGCTTGAAAACGGTATCCGCAGCGCTCGCCATTTGTCTGAACATCGGCGTTGATCCTCCAGACGTTGTTAAGACGAACCCCAGCGCGAAACTAGAGTGTTGGGTGGACCCGACTTCGTCAGGCGGTGCGCAAAACAAAGTGATGGAACAGATCGGCAAGAAACTGCAAGAGCAATATGAGACCTTGAGCCTACGAACTCGATACAAACAATATTTGGATCCTTCGGTGGACGAAACAAAGAAATTTTGCATATCGCTTCGGCGGAACGCGAAGGACGAGAGAGTACTATTCCATTATAACGGACATGGCGTTCCCCTTCCGACTGCGTCAGGCGAAATATGGGTGTTCAACAAAACATACACACAGTATATTCCCGTGTCCTTGTATGATCTGCAGTCTTGGCTTGCAGGGCCTAGCCTATTTGTTTTCGATGTTTCTCATGCTGGTCACATTGTCACGAATTTTCATAAATTCGTAGAAAAACATGAAAAGGAGAACGCGGAAGCGTGTAGGAAGGACCCGAATGCCGTTGTCCAGAATTACAGTGACTGTATCCTTCTTGCTGCCTGCGATAAGACAGAATCCCTCCCTACAAATCCCGACTTACCGGCCGACCTCTTTACTTGCTGCTTAACGACCCCTATCCAGATCGCTCTCAGATATTTCATGCTTCAAAATCCTTTGCAGTGCGGATTCCCTCCGGATGAGATCAAGATTCCCGGACGCCTTCAGGATCGTCGAAGCCCGCTTGGAGAACTTAACTGGATTTTCACAGCCATTACCGACACAATTGCTTGGAATACTCTACCACGAGCTCTATTCAAAAAGCTTTTCCGTCAAGACCTCATGGTCGCAGCCTTGTTTCGAAATTTCTTGCTTAGTGAAAGGATCATGCGAGCTCATGAGTGCCGTCCGATATCCTCGCCCGAACTACCTGAAACACACACACATCCCCTTTGGCAGAGCTGGGACCTTGCTGTTGAAATGGTTCTTTCACAGCTCCCGGCTCTACTGGAGAACGAGGAAGGGAAACGGCATTACGAGTACCAGCATTCAAGTTTCTTTTCTGAGCAACTCACGGCTTTTGAAGTCTATTTGTCGTCAGGACCAACTGAGAGCAACCCGCCGGATCAGCTACCAATTGTCCTACAGGTGTTATTGAGTCAAGCACACCGATTGCGTGCGTTGATCCTTCTGAGTAAATTCCTTGATCTTGGTCCCTGGGCAGTTCATCTAGCACTAAGCATCGGTATCTTTCCCTATGTGGTGAAACTATTGCAAAGTGCTGCCCAAGAACTCAAGCCAGTGATGGTCTTTATATGGGCCAGAATTATGGCTGTTGACCATACAGTTCAACACGATTTGCTCAAAGACAACGGCATCCATTATTTCATCAATATTCTTAATCCTAATACCGGAATCCCCGTGGGTAATGTCAGCGAACATCGTGCAATGTGCGCGTTTATCGTCGCTGTATTTTGCAAGGACTATCTCCAGGGGCAAAACGTGTGCCTCTCGCCTGAGCTTATTGAATTTTGCCTCTATCACTTGATGGACGTCGAAAATCCACTCCTTCGGCAATGGTGCTGTCTTTGCCTAAGCATGCTTTGGTACAATTTTGCTGAAGCAAAGTGGGTGGGAATTCGGTGTTCCGCTCCAGCAAGGCTCTGTGAACTTGCTATGGACCCTGTTCCAGAGGTGCGGGCGGCGATGCTTCATGCCCTAACGAACTTCATTGGAATTCCCGACCTCACGGATCAAGTGGCTCAGATTGAAGAGTACCTTGCAGCAAGTATTGTGCCGATGGGGAATGATGGAAGTGTCGTGGTTAGAAAAGAGCTTTTGGTTTTCTTATCGACTTTTGTGAAGAGATATCAGAATAAGTTCTTAGTGGCCGCCTACGAGCAGCTTCTGGAAGAGAAACATATACTCAGACACACGGTATCGGGCTCCAAGGACACCCAACCACCACCTTATCGCGAACGTGGCGTTTCTCACAATACGATTTACGGATCTCTTTGGAAATTGCTGCTTATACTCTCTGTCGACCCACAGGAGGAAGTAGCGCAAGAAGCAGGTGTAGTCGTCGACTACGTGTACAAAGTCCTTCTTGATTCGCCTATGGGTGGTTTAGCTCAAGATGCTCGTGACGAGATCCTTGCTCTCCACAGACGCTCCCAGTCCAAAAAGCCGCAGCCTCTTGAGCTAGTTGAGATGAAGCGTGCTAGACCAGAAACTCCTCCGGCTCAAGCATCCGGTAAATCAGAAGGATATTTTTCGTTGAGTCTAAGGAGAACAGCAAGTGTTGCTGCATCTTTGAAAAACCTTGCGTTCGGATCTTCCGCTGCTGACCAGCGCCCTGCCTCGCCTCTTAACCCATCCGGTAAACCGACGATAAGCAAGAACCGAGTGACCATTACTCCACGCGGCCGTGCCCCTCCTGAATGGACTCGACCTCCGGAAGTGAATGATCAACCAGTCTCCACTGGTCAGTATGGTCAAGCACCTACTCCACCCTCAAGGGGTTTCAAGCCTAGGGACTTGACAAAAGAGCCTTCAATCCCTCTAAAGAGCAGGTTTCTAAGTTGGTCAACCGAGGTATGCTTACCTTCCTAATTGCAAACCAAACTGTGCTTATCTCCTATTCAGTATTTCCGCGAACCTCAAATGAAACCGAATGAACCAGACGAACCCGGCAGTGCTGACTATAACCAACGTCTGTGGCGGCGCGCTAGAAACGAGAAAATTATCGTTGAAACCCAACAAATGAAAGACAAAGGTGGAAGCGGCCGATGGGATGTGGCATCATCCCTGATGAATAACCCCAGTCAGCCAGCTAAGATGTGTTTTCATCAGTTTGAGGACCATCTCGCGGTTGCTGATGACCGGGATACTATCTGGTATGTGAAGTTCATACACCCTCAACAGGGCAGTACTTACTCGTCTGTAGTATATGGGATTGGCAAAATAATTCCCGGCTTAGTCGGTTCTCCAACGGGAATCCATTGGGCTCTAGGATCAATGAAGTTCGGTTTATCAATGAAGACGACCAGGCTCTCTTGATGACTGGCTCTTCCGACGGAGTTTTGAAAATTTTCCGTAACTACGAGTCTAATCGAAAGGCTGAATTAGTCACTAGTTTCCGTGCGCTACCTGAGCTAATCCCGAGCAACAAGAATGCTGGTCTTGTTATGGACTGGCAACAGGGACAAGGCAAGGCACTTGTCGCCGGGGATGTGAAAGTCATTCGGGTTTGGAACGCAGCCACTGAGGTGTGCACGGTTGTGAGTATTTCTCCTTTTGATAATTGTGTACAGTCGCTGACGACATCTTATAGGATATTTCGGCTCGATCAGGGTCTTGTATTACTTCATTGACATCAGACCAAGTTGCTGGAATATTCTTTATCGCCGATTGGGACGACGCTGTTCGAGCGTTCGATCAGCGCTTAACCCACCCACGCCATGGTGAAGTTTGGCGGAGAGCATAAGCAGTGGATCACTAATGTACACATGCAAAGAGGGCGGGAGTAAGAGAACTTATATCTGGCAGCCGCAACGGCGAAATTAAACTATGGGATTTGAGAATGGACCATTCCATCGATACTATACAAGCCACAAAGGACACGCTACGAACCCTTAGTGTGCATGAACATGCGCCTGTTTTCTCTATGTAAGCCGTTACTCGTGTTTCTATGACCAAATCCATTCTGCTAACGCTCAAATCATTAGTGGAACCAATCGCCATGAAGTCAAAACCTTCAACGCCGACGGACAATACCTCTCCTCCTTCGAGCCTCACGGCAGCTTCTTACACCACAGTCGCACATCTCCTGTCGTCGGTACCGCCTTTCATCCACATAGAATGGTCATGGCTTGTTCAACTCTCTACGATAATTATATCAATCTTGTTTCATGCTGAGATGGGTCATGTGATTTAAGCTCGGATCTGCTTTTCGCACATATTCTGTTAGCCCTTTCTTTTCCCTTTCTCCTTTTTTTTACCTTTGCATCATTTGAACTGGCCAGTTCCATTTTTGCTTTCTCTCTTTGGAGGCTTTCTCTAATACATCCCATTTTCAGTATTCTGCCATGTTATACCCACTAGAAGGCAAGGGTGCTCGCCTATGCATAGACGACGGGGTCTATGGGTAATACGGCCGGCGCCCTAGCGCTAAGTCATGAATTGATGATTTCTTCTTTGCGTTTTTTTATATCTTCCTTGCGCCTTTGTTCCTTTATATTGCTACTATTTGTTTGGTATTTTCCTGCATTTATTTGGTTCTAGGGTTTTCACATGCTCAAATAGGTTAGAGAGCGAGGGAGGATATCGGTTCCCTAGGGATTGGCTTAAATCATTGTTGCCTATTACTTTTCCAGCTTCCTTATAGGTTCTTAGCAGTGACGGACAGTTAAGAACAAAGAAAGTAGCATTACACTAACATAACTAACTGCTTTGGAAAGTCTCTTAAAAACATCCTTATCAATTTAAAATCAAAGGGAGAAAAAAAATCATTCAATTTCGATATC